ACTTGCAGCTGAGTGTCGCCCTTATATAGCAGTCGGCTGCTCGCAGACGAAAGCGTAGAAGCATCGAATTGTTCGCTATGGAAGGTTCTTGTTTTATCTTTTCTAGAACGTACTAGTTATCGGCTTCTCTCTTTCATCTGACATTCGCCTCGCATTTTCGCAACAATATATTTAAGTCACATAGTTCACAAAATAAATATAATTTCGGCGATGCAACTCTGTTGTACTCGTTGTTATATCCTCGGGCGCCATTTTAAAAAGGCGTAAAACGGAAACAACAGCGCCGTCTGATCGTTCAAATGCATTTGAAGGAAGAAATTTTTTTAGTTTTGATGAATCGGTAATTTTATCATAATTTTGTAGTATTTGTGTTTGTTAAAACGTATTTTCAAATAGACTCAACAAAACGCTCATGTACTTATATACATATGTATGTATATACCAGTTCAGCCTAACATTAAATTTGCCAAGCGCATAAACGAGTAACTAATGGAAGTAACATATATATTTATACATAGCCATATGTATGTGGTCAATGTTTGTGCATATTTTTACTATGATAAAGGAAAACTCGCACACATATAAACTTACAAAAAGTATTATTGATCGCTAACTAATGTTCTTATCAACATCACAAATATTTATAGACCACTGTAGGCACAACGTGATCTTCGCTACATTCTTTATGGCAACTAAAATAGAAAGATCTATACACAGTATTCATATGCAACAAAATAAGTTGATCGAGTTAGTTTTTCTTATTATTTTCATTTTAAAGTACAAAATAGAATCATTAAACTCCATATACTCCATTGATAAGAAATAAGGCTGTTGAGTCTGTTGTACATACAAATGTATACATACAATGTATGCATGTGTTCAGAAGCACAGATAAAGCAGCTCATCTTAGCGCTACAATGCTCTCATGTACATATTTATAACACCGGCTTTGACCCGCCTTTATTGAACAGCGCTTATCAAATTTATATATACATACATATATATAATATATGTACATAACTACATGCATATTGAGTTCTTTGCGTCACGGACTCATCTCAACCATTTGATCTGCTAGACAAAATAGCAAAACAGTGTACTTATAAATTTAAGCTGCGTGTTGCCAACAAAATCAGTTCAATTTTGAACATCTCGCGAGTTGGAACGCAAATTTTCTGCTTTTACACATACTCAACTACTACTACCTACATATAAATTTTTTTTTTTTGCTAGTACATACAAATGTATGACCGGTCATTTGTTAAATTTTTTATATTTAGTTTAAAAGTGTTGTTTTTTTAATTAATATAATAATTTATATTATTGTAAGCGCATAATTGAAGTGCGTAAAACACGCGTGTCGTCGGCCGTGTGCGAAATTTAAATAAAAAAAAGTTATCCCTGTGCGGAAAAAAGACAATCCCTTTTTTGTTATTGTTTCTGTTTTGAAGCAAAAAACGTTTGAATGGTGGTTATAAAAAGCTCCGATAATCCAAATACAATACTGAATTTACCAAGAAAGCGAAATTTCTTACAAGACTTATTAAAGAGTGACTTTACGGTTCATAACGAATTGAATTTGGCTGATAAGCACATAATTTGTGATCTACAACTTTGTGAAGGTATGTGTAAATATTTGGCTTTTAGAATATGCTGGTAAAATGTGCTGTGTGGATGTGAGTTATTATGTGTGAATTGAAGCTTCGAAATGTGAAAATTAATTTTTGTTTTATATTTTTTTGTTATTAGTGTTTTTCGATATACATACATACATATATGGTTAACTTCAGAGCTATAGTTTGTATTCTAAAAAATGGAATATGAGGCAGAGAAAGTTGAAAAAATCTAACCTAGTCCGTAGAGGTTGCAAAACAAAAACAAATTGTTCGAAGGACATAAGAAATCAGCTTCTGATAGTGCATTTTCTTGAATATTCCTACTCGTAAATATTTCTCTTTATGAAAAATCAAATGAAAACTGTATTAATGCTTGGTTAAATAAAAATATATAACAAAGTTTCGATAGATTCCGCGATTTGTTGAATATAATAAATTAGCTTACTTTTCGAGATCAAAATTTTTCTTACGCAAACTTAACAAAATGGCGCATGCTGTGTTGTATCTCTTAAAAAACTTGAATAGTTAAAAAAAGCGACTATATTAATGAAAAAAAATGTTTAAGAAGAAAAAAATACATAGATAATAAGAATTATTTGAAAACGAAAATATGCATTTTGATCTATTGTAAAATAAAAATTATACCAAAATAATGATTGAAAATACTTTTCTCGTGTATTTATTCTCATTGTATTTCCAGAAAATTTTGATTTCGACTAGAAAAGCGCATCTTCCCTTTTTTTATTAGTTAATACAAAGCATATTTCTCTGTATTGTAAAGTTTAACGCTGGAAATTTCAAAGCTTGCATAAAGCTTTTTGTATTAATTCTCGACAAATATTATATATTATAATTTTATTATCTCACTTTTTAAAGGCTATCAATTTACTTGGGTTCAAGTAAGTGACCCCAAAATTATAATATAAAGAAAAAAAATTGTAGAAAAAAAATTATAGAATAAAAATTATAGAATAAAAATATAAATAAAAGTTCTAATCAGTTTATTTTGTTATTTTTTGAAATAAGTTGCTTGAAAAAGAGTTTTTGTATAGAAATATAATATACTTTTTATCGTCGTATGCATAAAAAAAAATACTACAAAAACTTGAAAGAAATAAATTCACATTTTTTTGTTATTATTTTTAATTCGCTTTTTTATTATATTTCATGTAAATAATTTTTTTTAATTTCATGTAAATATTTTTTTCTTAATTTCATGTAAATAATTATGTTTTATTAATCATTTCAGACTGCATAAAAATGGCCGCTTTACCACAGGGTGCCTTTGCCGCATGCAAATTGCGTGAAATGAACGATAGAGATTTACTGATTGCACGCGTGAAGAGCAACGCCGATAAAAATGAAGCCAAAAATATGAATACAAATAAAAAATGTAAGTTTTTCATATTCTTCACATACATATGCATATGTATATAAATGTAATATTAATCTTTTCCATTTGTTTTTCCATTTTGCAGTGACTGAATATACACCGGCAAAGTATAATGATAAGTTGATGAATTCCATTTGGGGTTTCTACAATCGTTACTCTCCTCACAATATAAAAGGCAATGAATACGAATTTTCGGACAAAGATTATATAATGCAACAGCAGTAAGTAGAGACAAAGTTATACATAATATATGTATGTGTGTAATTTATTATTAACTCCATTTTTATTTCTTTTCCATCCCAGCATTGCTGTTGCATCCTATGCCATTGCTGAAGAATTAGCAATGGGCCTACGTTCCGGCAAGGAATGGGACTTATGTGAGAAGTAAAACAATATTTGTTAATAATATTGGCCGAAAACTGGCGTAAAACTGTTTTTTATATACATTTATATTTTCAATGAATTTGAAACCAAAATTTATGCATATATACTCTTTTATTGTTTATATTTACTAATTTTTTTTTTAATACTAGTAACTGCACAAAAGAATTTTTAAAATCACATAAATATATTCAAAAATTATGAAAGCATTATAATTACTTTTTGTTTTATTTATTATATACACTATCAAGAGTGCGGGCGATCTTTTTCAAATAAATAACAAAATATTAATTTTAAAAACAATTTAATTCAAATAACATGATTCATAGGTAGGTACCATATACTTAATATTTATGAAAGCATCTTCCCCACCATGTAATTCCAATACCTGCAGTGTCTCGTCGATGAGATCGCCAAGATTCATATTGGTGCGCTGTGCATAGTCGATTTCATCGCCGCAGTTAACTGTAAAAGTGAAAAAGAAAAGAACAAATCAAAATCCATTAAATTCTAAAATTTGGTCATTTCTTTTCATTGAAACTTAAATTAGTTTTTAAAATTAATGCCCATTGAGCTATAAATGAATTATTTGACCAGGTCAACTCTCTCACTAATATATATTACTCCCAAAAGAAACCAAAAAGTTGTGACCCCACAAGCTTGGAGTATTATAAAAGAGGTAGGAGTTGGAAGTTAAAAGTCAGAAAAAAGGTCTCAAAGTCGATCCCGTACTCGTCTCTCTGACAAATCTCAAGACAAATTAGTGCCTCTCTTTATCAGTTTTAATCCGAAGAAAATTTCGATAAAGCGAGGAAGCAGTCCAATATGTGAGACGATTTTATGACCACAAGTTCGAGGAAATGTATATAACGTTCAGATTCCCGATTTCAAAGCTGTAGCTGATCAGGTGTTTGATAGTCAAGGAAGGTATCTAAGGAAAAAGAATTGATTCTCATGTGATATTATTATGAAGGCCACATAAAGCAGCGTAATAATGGGAACGGGGATAGCAGAATGATTTTCCCTACATACTACCACTCGGAAAGCTAGGGTTCATGTACTGATCTGACAAACATCGGTCGCTCCCCCGCAGGAAATGTCAAGCCCTCCGAGTGTATTTCTTACATGAAATAAAACCTCTTGGTAAAAAACCATCAGCCTTTCGGAGGCGTCGTTAAGCGTCAAATATAAATATATAATGGTGTTAGATACATGGCGGGAGGAGTGATTTTGCTGTCGAGTACTTCACATCGTCTTCTAGATACAATTCGCATTTCTTCGACCCTTCGCTGATTTCCGCCTGGGTTCCGCTGGGAGAGAAAAGCTATGTGACCAAAGATATCTTCTTTGCGCATCTCCAACACGTCAAATGCCACTGTCAGACTGTCTTCGGTTCGAAAATCTCGCAAACAAATTAACATTTTAACATAAGAACTGGAGAAAATAAATAGAGCTGCAGAGTTGAATAGAGAAAGTGTACACCTATTGGGCATTCAAAAAGTTATTTAAGAAAATTGTTAATAACTATTATTTCAATTAATTAAGGACCCCTCAGTAGTTGTTTCACATCATTTCATGCGTCACACATACAATAGATTAATCAGTCAAATCTGCAGTTCAGTAGGTCGTCGAGCTTATGTACAATACAAGTGTGTTTGTATGTATGTATGTATATATATCCGCTTATTCACTTGGTTACACTTTTTTTGCATTTGTTTACTGCATTATTGGCGCAAGGTTACATATGTATATATGTATATAGACATATTTGTATTACTTTGATAAGAATAAATCTCGATGCATTGGCAAAAATTATTATTTTCTTATTGTATATATATATATATATATGTATAATTAAAATCTTCTCTTGTGTGTGTGTGTGTATGCAAATTTTATAATCTTAGTCTGATGTACTTTAACGGTACCGGATTGGAAAAAGATAACAAAGGGGTTAATTGACAAGTGATAATTTACAATTTTAAGTACACTCATATATGTACATATTTATTTAGTGAAAAAGTATGTATGATTTTTTTTGTTACTTAATTTAATACAATATTACTTATCTGGTTAGAACTTTCAGTCAGAAATACCACAAATACTTAGATGCATACAACGACTTTGGTTAAGTACAACTTTTTTTGGTGAATAATTTAATTTTTTTAGTTAATATATGTACATATATATTTTCTATGGAATTAATTCCAAACTCACACTTACCATTTTTCACCTTAAAAGCATTAAACATTGGCAGTAATTGTCGATAAAAAGGCACCAAAGCTGGACCAACCATATCTGATGACATAACAAGTTGTTGGATTATTTTTAAAGTGGTGCACATAACCTCCAAATTACGTGTACTAAGCGCATCTGTGAAAAGAAATAATATAATAATTACACTGTGCACGAGTTTCAAGGATTCTTTTAAACTTTTTTAATTCTTTTTAATTTTTTTTTAACTTTTGTAGTTATTTTGCATTCTTACAGCAAGTTAAACTGTCGATTTTGTAAAAAAAAATTGAGTTACTCATACGCCATGGCAAACGGCTGCCTTTTTAAGCAAACATGCATCTGTTTGAATTGAATTGTTTGAATGAAAATTAAATTTAATGACCTACTCGTTTCCTTAAATTTTTTCGCATTTATTGCACCCTCTAGCGGAGCTGTCAAGAATTTATATAATTTGCTTTTAGATTTTAATTTTCAAGTAATTGTTCGCTTCTAAAAATTTCCACCGCCACTACAGTTGCTACTCTGTGATGTAGCATACGAAATTTCCTGCAAGAACTCTATAACATACTCCAAATTAAGAAGCAGACGGATAGTCAGATGGTCAGCAGAAAAATGAATGTGTTTGACTAGATCAGCTCAGTCCGGCCATAAACTGATCATATCGGTACAAGTTTTATTACGTCTGTCTGTTCTTCTTCTGGTAAATATGTAAACGAGCGCCATAATCAGCGTATCCCAAGTATTCTTAATGAAGTGAATTAATTTAATTTAAAATCGTGCTGTAAAAAAAAATCGAAGAAAAAAAATTCTTGACACCACTTGAATTGAACTTTTCTTTTACTGACACTTGCTCCGGTCTTTCAACTCCGTATTATTATTTATTTAATATTAAAAGTTCTGTTGATAACTCTTTATTTTGTTTTCCTCAAAGTAACCATCTTCAAATCTCATATAATAACTTGCGCCAGCATTTTTAATCCCATCCTAAAAGTAGATACGATATGGGTTTTTGGTTCGGTCATGAGCGCTTTTGATAATAATTTTCTACACTTTTTCAATATCTTCGGCGACTGTTGATGTGATGGGGAGTCCAGAGCAAGCATGACATCCACAGTTCGATTAATTATACGATTTTCAAGCACAGTGTGCAAAAGCCTCGATTGCAACGTTGGCTGCGGACTCGTAGTGCCTTACTGTTTAAACTCTACATTGGTTTCTCCAACATATGGAAACAAATAATCTCTAAGGATCGCAATATAAGGATCCGTTTTGACGTTAACGTCAGCACTTTCCTCGTTTTCGAAGGAAAATTAGACGGTTTACCGACGTGTGAGCCCCAAATGCCGCAGTTTTGCTTGTTCATCTTCTCCTAAGCGAACTTTAGCACATTAAGTGCAGCGAGATCGCATTGGCTGATCAATAAGCCTTCAGTTGTTGGATTAATTGAACTTTACAACGAACTGAAACTGCCTGGCAGGCGAGGCGTTTTTTGTTTTTTTGTCCGTTACTTTCGTAGTTTTCTTGCGATTTTCGTTGAATTCTCACCAAATTTAGGGATCTGCCGTTCTATTAAAGCCGCTTCCGAAGGTCTTTAAAAATATTTTTTTATCTCATGCTAGTACTACAGTTAGAAGAGCGGATCTTTCTTATCGAGAAGAGATTAAAATTCATTTTTTTCTTTTTGAACACACCTCTTGGCGTGAACAAAATTATAGCATTCATTAACACGCATGCTATGTAGTGGCCTACATTTAGGCGCACGCAATCGCTTTTAATATAGACCGCATAACATACGATTACATACATAAATTGATCGAAATACACTTACTTTTAAGTGGTAATATTAATTGCGGTACAACAGGATGAATTTTCTCGCCACCAGCAACTAATAAATCGGAGACACCTTGACGTGCATAAGTCTTGTAGGGGTGTTGGGTCTCCGAAAGACCATCAAAGAAAAGTGGCAAGTAGAGGCTGTAGTCAAGTTTGTCGATATCCACCTACAAGAGACATAAAAATAAGAATAGGAATAAACAAATAAAGATAAATACAACAACAAAATACGTAACCCACAATATACTACCTACATACATACATCTACTGCCATCTATGTATTGTAGTAACCATACACACACACGTATAAAATTGTCAATGAATTTGTTTAAAGCTTATGTTCGTGCTGCATGCCAAGCACATCTTTGCACGCAACAAAGAAAAAAGAATGCCAAGAACGCAAGAAAGTATTCAATTCGATTTCAATTACCCGCAACACTCGCCCAACTGTTCGTCGCCAGCGTGTACCCTTTAACTGCGAAATTGTATTTTATGTTGTTTTTTTTTTAGTACAAACTGGTATTTGTTTATAAGTATGTAGGTGCTTATGTGTTGTTGCACCCACGTGAGCAATAAATAATTTCGCGGTAAATTATAATTTTCTGCATGCTTTCTTTTTTCTTTTTTTTTACAGCAAATATGACAACACTGGCGTGCTAAAATATTATAATTTTTTTATTTTTGTTTGATTGTGTGTGTTTACCTACAATATGCATACAAAAAAATAGTAGATTTTAGATATTTGCATTTTGTTGCAATAAATTATGCATCAATCAAATCTGAGACGACGGCGCATTACATATGCAACGGAAATTGAATTCGAAATAAAGGTGATTTTAAAAATAGCTGCAGACCTTCTGGTGCCAACCAGTTGGCGTTGTTTCAAAACAAACAAAAAATCTCCTTCAAATTACATTTGATTTCAATTTTTAGTCGGAGCTTTTATTTTCAATTAATTTCAATCAATTTGTAAACAAACGATAACAGCCGTCAGAAATATTTCATTGTGAACAATTGAATTGAACGATGTTCACAATAGCGATATTCTTTATGATTTTTGATCATTACAAAGGAGCTGAAAGCTCGACTTCCAGAAAAAGAATGTTTAGAAAAATTATCCGTAGAAAAAGGTGAATTAATTATTAATATTTAAAATTTTGTCTATTATTATCTTAAATCTTTGCCAAAAAAAATATCTGCGGCAAAATGATAGCGAATTTCGTGATTGTTAACAACGATTGGCTAGAAAATTGGGAAACGTCGAAATTAAACCATCAGCAGAGTGCGGTATGTATGCATCCTTCACTTCCTGACACCTTGCTTTGCATGCCACACTGTGGAAGGCGGACGCATATACGCCTGCCCCGCCCATTTCTAATGAAGAATCTGGTGGTAGGTACAAAACGCTAAAGGTACTCAACACAGAAGTTGAAAATAGAGAAATCGAGCTGATATGCCAGCAGGGAATTTCAACTCCACCGGGTGTATTTCCAACAATAAATAAAAGCTTCTCATAAAAATCCATTGGCTGTTCGGAGGCAGCGCCGAATAAACTGTAGATTCCTTCATTAAGACGCTTACCACAAATTCGAGGAGGATCTCGGCAGAAAATAGCTGCAGCGGTTATACAGAGCCAATTATAGTATATGTCAGCCCTTTCCTTGCTGCTTCGCCAGCGGCCGCACAGCTAATGTGAAGGGAGCAGTGCACAAGAGCTGCAGTGCTACTGCCAAATCTATGCTGCAACGGAGGGGTGCTAAAGTTCCTGAAGACTCGCAACTTGAAAGCGTAGAAACGATGGAAGAGGAAATCTTACTCTCCAGGTCTCCAGGTGATGTGAAAGACGGTAGCTCCAATTGAAAGATCGAAGTGCAGAAATAACGCAAAGATGTGGTGAAGAGCAGTGGAGCTAAATTAGCTTTATGCGTTCATCGCGAAAATTCTGTTATGCCTATGGAAGATTGTTCTTCAGCAACTTTTATTTTATAATTGGCACTTTGTAATCATCGAAGCATCTTTCGGCCGAGCTCCTCCTTGACTTAGTGGTGTGACATTTTTCCAACAAATGGAGGACTTTTGTTGTGGTGACTCGCCATAACGACATCCTTCAGTTAAACAAATCAGACGTTGGGCTTCGCTTCTAAAATTGCAATATGACCTAAGGCAATGTAAATACACTCTATTGTATTCGCGAAAAGTGGCGAAGGATCAAAGTAAATATGTTTGGTTAGGCTCCCTGAGCTATACATAAATATTTATATATCTGTTAGTTCTTAGTAGTACCAGCTGGAGGTTGTGACTTTGTGGTAAAGAAAAAATACTTAAATTTCCTATACTCAGTAACTAGTGAATATTCTCGGGCATAAACTCTTTAATTTCCTTTATGTACATATTTATATATATTTCATTTTCATTTGATATGTAGATTAGTGCTTTTAAAATTTAGGTTAGGTTGAATTTATTTTTGATAATATTTCGCTATAGTATATTTTTAATAATATTTTTCTTTTTTTTTCTTAAAATATTCATATAATTACTTTCACTTGAAAACTTACCGTCCAACCAATTTTATCGCCGCCACATAAATATTCCATTTTAATGGGCAGATCGCCACGATCAAAATACATGCGAAATGTTGTCGTTGGACGTCTGTGAGTGGCGTTGCCAACTATGTTATTGCCACTTAAATCCAACTCCAATGTGGATATGCCTTTCCTTTTGCCATTTTTACTAAATCCTGCATTATGTTTGAATATACAGACACATGTGCATACAAACATATGTACATATATGTAAATAAATGTTTATATAAAAGTAATATGTATACTGTTTATATGTAGATACATATGTATGTTTATATTTTGTTTAGTAAATTTGATACAAACTTTTCATATTCACTTTTCCGCGTGCACTAGCCGGCGCGGGCGGCTCCTCAATTGGACCATGCACAACAACGGTATTTTTTTGCAACGATTGCACTGAAAATGGTGGCACACAACGCGCTCGTTGCACTGAATAATTTACAAAAGGGTGTGCCGCTGGCGGATTTGCAGATTTCGAACGAAGTTTTGCCGATTTGCCATAGACATTACATTCATGTGACTTTGCGATACGCACACGTGCCGTATGGGACATGATGATAGGTAAAATTAATTTTCTCACACTCAAATTTTTATTAAAAAAAAAACAAAAAACAGAAGTAAGTTGTGTTTATTACAATATTCCAAACTCGGAAAATGAAAATTCTAATGTGCGCACCTGCAGCACTTTCAAGAGTAAACAATAAACTAAATTCGAATACCGAGTCCTAACAACTGATATCTAAGGAATTTTCTAGCGCTGAATTTATTGTTGTGGCAAATTAGGAATGTATTGGAATGAGTGGGTGGGTGTTAATCATAACCAAACGTTGCTAGGTTTGAATTGTTTAGTGAAACCAACAACAAACATAAATAATACACATGAAAAAGTGTGTGGGATTACTTGTTTTGCTTTTATGTTACTCCGTCGTTTCGCTTTTCGTATCGATAACATAAAATCCAATTTAATTGTCAAGTATCATACAAATTTTTCACAGTCAGCATAAATATAAACATCAAAATGCCAGTTTAAAAATGTATCCATTGCCTCTGGAAACTCTGATAAATTAAATTTATTACAATTAACTGATCTCTGCGGTATTTTGTCAGCGTTCAGAATTTGAGTAATGAATTTAAATGAATAAAGAAGTGTAAAATAAAAAAAAAATAAAAAATAATATAAGTAAAAAAAAAATAATATACATAAGTAAGTTAGCCTGTGGGCATTTAATTTCCAATAGCACATTTTCGGAGTAGCCCCGCTCGCTGTTCGTTCCCGATTACTCGTTCATTCGCGGCTCGACAAAATCAACTTTTAATCGGTCTGACTGGAAAAACGTTTTATTTAAATCAAGACGACAATGCAGGCGAAAGAGGTATTTTTTGTTACATAACATTTAGAGTATAAATAGAGTTAAGTCATCAAAAACATTTGTTTTGCTGACAGTATCTTACAGTAAGTTAGAAAAATATTTACACCATGTTTGCGCCACCTCAAAAGTAGAGCGCAAAAGAGCCAAAACAGAAGAAAGCAATTCAAGTTCTATCGAAAGTCAAAGTTTTACCCAATTTGTTCTTACCTACCTACCATAGCATCGTGCAGTTAAAAAGATACATTATTGCAGTTTAGCAACAATTAAAGAATCGAAATCCGAAAAGATGAAAGAATTTAAGGACATAACGAAAAAATAACATAAGTCATGTTGAGAGTGGTTTCGACGCTTTAGTTGTGGTTATATTTGCGTCGAAGACAAAGAGCGTCCCGACTAACCCAAAAAGTTTGAAGATGAGGAGTCGGAGTCTTTACGGAATCAAGGTCCGTGCAAAATGCACACTGAACTTACCGAATCGTTGAGAGTGGCTTAGAAAGCAGTTTGGAATAATTCAAAAGCAATGAGATGTGGAAAACGATTTTTCATCTCGAAACTGCTTTTTTAAGTACATGAGAGAAAGGGATTTTGTTTCCGGATCGTGACTTTAGATGCTCCTTCCGGCTTCGGGTCTTTTGAAGATATCGTGGAAGTGCAGACAGAGAACAAATATGTACGACCCCTGCGGGTTAGGGGCTCAAGAATTTACCCGTGGTAAGGCATGCCTGTCGTAAGAGGCGACTAAAATCCAATAGTTCTCGCGACAGTCGGGTCTTTATACCGGAACGACCCAGATTTTTATCCGGCCAAGGACTGTCACTCCCGCAATATTCCCCGAAAACCAATTCGGGGAATAATTTGCGGTTACAACAACAACAACAACAATAATGTATGCTTTTTTCTTTTATTTTGGTTACAAATATATGCTTGCATTTTATTTGATAATTTTCATATTCATATTTCTGCACCAATTAAAAGAACCCAAACTTCGAAGAAAAAACACAAATTTTGACAATTTTTTTCAGATTTGCTGATGACATAGGAATAACAAGATAACGCAAGCTCAGTGGTTGGTTTTTATAAAAAAAGATGTACAACTCAATAGAAACTTATTTGCCATTCATTTCGGAATAGCCAAAATACTTTAACTAATTGGCAGCTCTTTCAGAACTAGCATCTGCTTCTCACCGCCATTTTTCGGAATTGCGCCGCTCGCTGTTCGTTCATGATTACTCGTTCATTCGCGCAACGACAACGAATATATTTTCAATATTTAATCGGTCTGTGTGGAAAAAGGCATAATTTGTTGGTAATAACTACATATATTTAATTAGAAATATTAGAAAAGTGGAGAACAGCTGCTATACTTTTTAATTTCAATGAAAATCTATCGCGAACTGTGAAGTTAGTGGAAAAAAACGTGTTAGAAAAATTTTGCAGTGTGACTTGTGTGATTTTCATTGCTAAAGTCTTTTCACCACCACCACTACCGCCCTGTAGTGGCGAGTAGAGTTATAGACGCAGCGGAGTGCGAGAAACAGGCATTCGCGCCGTTTCTCGTTTTGTACTAGTCCGAGTGACCGCATTTTTGTTTGATTTTAGCTCATTTTACTTTACCGTGTAACCAACTCCAAATTTATAGACTGCATTAAAAATAATAAGTTTTGGGAAAAATATTGCTTAGAAAGTTTTGTGTTTGGATTTTCGCAGAGTGGGCGGAGTAAAATTTGGCTCTATTAACAATATGGATGTAGCCAAATTGGAGAAGATGAAGGTGATAGACCTTCGAAAAGAGCTGGAAACGCGTGGCCTTGATACCAAAGGTGTTAAAGCGGTTTTAGTTGAACGACTGCGAGCATTTATAGAAGACGGCGTGAGTAAGTACAATATCCGAAGTTATAGTTATAGATTTATATATCTTATTATTATTATATAATTCTATTTTAAGCTGCTCCCGGTACACCTGGAACTCCTGGTAGGAGAAGCCGTCGGACACGCTCAATGACTCGTTCACCGTCACCTTCGCCGGTGAAGGCTACTGCAGTTGAACCTAATTTGGAAACCCTCGCAGAAGAAGAAGATAATGTAAGCTCCCAGGATGTTCCTACAGATGAAAATGTCAAGGAAGTGATTGAAAGAGCAGAATCGGTTGAGATAGAAAACACTGATCGAAATAAGGAAATTCCGGAAGAGCAGATGGAAGTTGAACCTCATGAAAAAGTAGAACATAATGGAGAGGATGAGCATGAAGAGGAAGTTGATAGAAAACAGGAAGCAGATAATCACCAAGAAGAAATTGAGGAAGAAAAAGAAGTTGATGGGGAAAAAGAAATTGATGAAGAACCTCTTAAAGCAGATGAAGTGCATTCAGAAGTAAGATATCAAGATGATGAAGATGTTGAAATGGATGCTAAAGAAAATCAGCCAGAAGAAGAAGCAGAAGAAAAAGAACAAAATAAAAGCTATAAGGAAAAGAAAGATGCGAAGGAGTTGGAGGAAAGTAAGCCTGAGTTAAGCAAACGTAAACGCTCCCGTACACGGTCACATTCCAAGGAACGTCGTGGACGTACTGCTTCTCGATCACGTTCCCGATCACACTCAAAGTCAAGATCACGTTCGAAATCACGCTTAGAATCTAAGTCGCGTTCACGATCACCGAAACGGCGTAGTGGCGCTGGTAGCCATGGTACACCATCAAAAGCAGAAGAGGCCTCAAATCCTGAAGATGAGCCAACTATTGAAGACAAACAATTTGGTTTGAGTTGGTGTAAGTTATATTTTAAAATATTAACTGATAACCATTTCAATTGCATGGCATTTTTTTTTTTTTTTACAGTTGATTCAGATTTACATTTACGCATTGATCCTGTAACCTTTACGTCAGCAAAACCCATGTCACATGATGTGTATTCTTTAATTTGGTCTGGAGCACGCACCAACTATGGTGTACGTGAGGGAAAAGTCTGCTTCGAAGTGAGGCTGGCGGAAGAAACACAAGTGGGTCGCTCACATCAATTTCGTGATGAACCGAATTTGCGTGGTTTTCGTGTAGGATTCTCTCTCCCCAACACCACTTTGCTGCTGGGCGAAGCAGAAAATTCTTTCGCATACTGTGAATCTGGACGCAAAGCGACCAATTCCGATTTTACAGAGTTTTCGAAACCATATCAATTGGACGATGTAATTGGTTGCTATTTGGATCTGGACAGTACGCCTTGCAACATCAAGTACACGTTAAATGGCGAAGATCTTGGTGTCGCTTTTGAGTTTGATAAAAGTATTTTAGGTGAAAGTGATGCGCTATTTCCGCACATTGTGACCAAGGGTTATGAATACCATGTAAATTTCGCTGATAATGAGAATTTATTGGCAAATGTGGAGAGACCGAAACGTATGCGGCGTATACCCAAAAAGCAAAAAGAAACTGAAAAAGAAAAAGAAAAGGTAAAGGATGAAGAATCAAAAGAGGAAACTAGTAAGAAAACCGAAGAAGGTGCTGAAAAAACTGTAGAGGAAAATGATGATGCTACTGAGAAAACTGCTGTCGTTGAAGAAGATGTAGAAATGGAAGAAAAGGATGAGGTCAAGGAACCACAGGAAATTGAAAAAACCGATGACAAAGCGGAAGGTAAATAAAAAATGAAAAAAACTTGATTGAATGAGCTTATAAAAAAATAATCAAATGGGGGTTGATGTGCGTATGTTTGGTAGTGTAATTTTTAAGACAGTAATTTATAACACAGATATTCCAAATATATGCATATTTGTGTACAGGTATTAGTGTAAGCGATTTTATTTTATGGTCAGTCCTTAAACTTGATCTTTTGTTAAATTGTTTTTCCTTTTTATTTCAGAGCTCAAGCCGACGGAAGACACCGAGGAATCAAACGAGAAGTTGGCCGTTGATGCTGAAAAGGTTGAAGAAAACGGTGACAAACCCGCTTCAACTGAAGCTGAAGCTGACGAAAAACCGTCTAAAGAGGACGAAAAAACCAAGGATAAGGAAATTAAGAAAAAAGATGAAGAAGACAATGGACCATCGCCAACCAAACGAAAACGTTTGGACAGCAAAGAAAAACGTCGCGAGTCGTCCGATGAAGATGAATATGAAGAAGTCATACCCGAACCACGTGAGACCGTTTCACTACTACCGGATTATGAACTTATCGCATTAATACCAGAAGAAAAATATGTATCTGGTCCACAAAGACCAAACAGTCGCAAGGAATGCGAAGTTATACTGCTAGTAGGTCTACCCGGTGCAGGAAAAACACAATGGACAACAAAACATATTAATGATAATCCAGAAAAACGTTATCATGTAATTGGTGCTGATGCGTTAATTGCAAAAATGACCGTAAGTCAAATTTTGCGGGTTTTAAGTTAAATACAATTACTAACCCAATTCTCTCTTCTTTAAGATTGACGGCGCGCCACGTAAGACCTTGCATAAGGGTCGTTGGGAACGTGTCTACGAATTGTGCTTGAATAATTTGTCTCCGCTTGAGGAGATAGCAACTAAGCGACGTCGAAATTTCATTCTTGATCAGGTAATTCGGTAATATTCGGTTGTGCACAGGGATTTTCAGGAAATCAAAATGAAAAAAAAAATTTGAAACATACAAGTGTATGAAAAAATAGGTTCAAATGTGAGTTTCAAAAATTAATTTAAAAGAAATGTTAACTTTTTAGTAATGCCTACAGTAGATGTATAGTAAAAATACAGATTTATGAATTATATTTGATATGCTTCCTCACCTTGAAGAAGGAAAATTTAAACATTGGAAGAGCTGTTTCCTGGAATATGTTGGACCGACACTACTACATATACAACTGTAATAATAATAATGCGATTATAAGAAATTGGAATCAGAAATACATATTCTGGAGTACCTGACGTGTTACTATGAACGTTTACTCTGTTACAACAATTCATTTCTGCGAAAAAAAGACTGCCGATGACGACAACTGATGCAACCAAATCAATTTGTAATAGTTTTCCGCCACTACAACAACCAAAATGTCAATTGTATATATGTAAGCGCCATGCAGGAAGTAAATTGCGGGTTTAAACGGAGCAAGCATTTTTGATCGTAGCAGCAAATCAAACAGCAACAACGACTCTCAGCAAAAATTACAGAAACTAAAATATATTATATTCCTCTTGGGCTTTAAAGTTGTTTTTTATTTTTATTTTTTTAACTGTATAACAGTGAACCTATTTTTTCATGCTCGCTCACTGTATGTTTCAAAGCATAAAAGTTGAAAAAAAGTCGAGAATTAAAGTTGCAAAGAGTGTTTGTTGAGCGATTTAAGTTCTCGAAAAAAAATTTATGAAATTCAAACAATTTATTTACCAAAAGTAGGTCAAAAAACAAAGTATAGAATTTTTTAATTTCATTTTTTTTTAATTGCTAATTTCATAAATGTTTTACATATAAATTTTTTTATTTTTTTTTTTTATTTTGCTAAGTAAGACACAAATTCTTTTTTCAAGTTAAAGCAAAAATATGAATACGTTCGTGTAACGCCTTCATACATACAAAAACACATTTTTTTTATTATTATTATTATATATTTATAAATCTATTTTTTAATTTTTACTTACAAAAGAAATTAGTCGAAAATTTGTTAAGCCAAACTGCTTTTTAACAATTTTGCTGAAAAAAAAATAATGCAAATGCGTTAAAAAGCGGCAACCAATAAATGCCAAGGTGAGTTTTAGACATGTAAGTTGCTCAAAAAAAAAAACAAAACATACATATGTACAAATGTGCAAGTGAGTATATGTATTGGTGTTCTACGGCGACGGCGACAAGCAGCAAATTTAGTAAATGTAATAAATTGAAATGTGCATAAATGTAATCGTTGTGGTGGTGAACGTGCGTGCGGCATGGATGCCTTGTAAGTACATACATGTATATGTAGCAGCGTGCAAAATACCTATACATAAATATATGAATAGTCTAAACCACTACAACAACCGTGGCGTGGTATACGCTTTTACTGGTATTTTTCAACATTTTTCCCCCTCCATCAAAACTATCTTTTGTCTAAGCAGTGCACGCACCAGAAGACTCAACGCGACCCCACTGTGTTTGACAAGAGCGGGAAACGGCAGAGACATGCATTATTTAACACGGTTATTTGCTGCTTTTTTATTCTTGTAATTCAAAAAAAAAAATGCACAGAAAAAGGTATGTTTTAGTAATAAGTTATATACAAATGTGCCTAGCACTATAGGTTTGGGTTTATTTATAATTAATCAAAAATGTGCAGCGTTTGCCGTTACGTTTTATGTACACATATATGAATTGTAAAAATATATATATATATTGTGTATACATATATATGTGAGGAACAAATGTATACACGTAGGAGCAGAAGTTGTTAAATGTATAAAAAAAAAATATAAATATTAGAAAGAGAAATGCGCCAATCAACACTCGCAACAACAAACAACTCGAACAACAAATATTAAAAAAAAAACCGTTTACTAGTTACTACTACTATTGCTTCGTGCAGAAGCATTAAAGTCAAATTAATTTCTACAAAAAAAAAACAACAAGCTCTCTCATCCAACCACATGTGATCCCACTATGATTTTGTAGACAAATGTATACGCATCCGCACAACGGCGCAAAATGAAAGGTTTCGGCGACTTCAAACGCATTGCAGTTGTTTGCATACCAAATGAAGATGAATTGAAACGGCGCAACACTGAGAAAACTGAAAAGGGCAATGATAATACAATTAGAGAATCAACATTAAATAATTTACGAGGTAATTATCTGAAAACAAAAACAAACAAAACAAAACAAAAAAAAATTAAAAAAAAAAAACAAAAAATAAAAATAAATAAATAAACAAAACTAAGTATGTAAACACATTTTAAGGCGAAAAGAAAGTTAAAAAGCTGGAAAAAATTGTGCTAAAAGCTATTATAGTTTAGTTCTTAAGTAGTCGAAATTGCATAAAACTAAAAAACACCAAAAAAAAAAATTAAGAAAATGCGAAAAGTGTTGGTCTTTTAATTTAATTAGGCTTTTCTTTCATTTTTTTTTTCTAATTACATTTTCTACATATTATTTTTTATAAATTTGTATTAAATTTATATATATGTATTTTAGCAGTTGTTTTATTTTTACATCTCTATTTTTTTTTTTTATTATATACTCGCATATATGTATATATTGTAGTATTTGCGCATTTTGTTATGCGTTTATGCTGTCACTACATATTTTTAATACTCAACGAGACGTGTATGTAAGCATATTTAAAATTTTTTTTTATATATTTGTGTATTAATTTATTTTGCAGGTATTTTTTTACACAATTTATTTAATCCTTTGTGGCACTGCATATATATTTTTATATGTACATATACTATAGTGAATACATTTATTTAAATGTATTTACATGCATATGTAAATGTAAATATTTTTTGTGCAGTCTATATACCTTATGTCCAAATATGTAATTTTCTTAGCAATTGGCAAAAGGTTTGCCTAAAAGTTAAAAAAAAAATGCCAATTGGACATCTTTCCATTGTGCCCTTGATGCTTTGAAACATGACCCGCAAGAGTTATTTTTCTAATATTTCGGTTACTTTGTTTAGCAGTCCTTATATGGGCTGTTTTTGGCGTCTTAAAATGCTTTGTCCGCGTCGTAAAGAACAAATTTGTTTAACTACAACATTTCATAAACTTAATTTCAGTTTCAGCTCTTGAGCCATATGACTTACATCGATCGAGAACTTCTTTGTCGTTCGTATTTTAACAGAAATTTCAATAAAGCACCGTACTGTCCCCTTGAAAAGTCTAAAATCAGCTCAACATCACACAGTGTATTAAACAAAATCTTTCCTCTGTCGCACGGGACAGTTGCTGATTACTTTGGTTTAGAGCTTCTGTAGAAAGTTTGCATTTTTAACACTGAAAAAACCATTGAGCTATCAAAAAGCAATTCTGAATGTGTTTTTTTCATACCAAATTTACATTTGTATATCTACTAAAACAACCAAAATCGTCTGTAAATACCAAAATAAAGAAGCTCACCTAAAAATCCCCATGAAATGGCATAAAATACATAATTAAATGTTTAGTATACAAACTTTTGAATATAATTTTACCAAAAAAAAAAAATCCGACAAAATTGTCGTTATTTTTGTCCATTTAAAGATAACAAATTTAAAAACTAACCTATAAATCAGTATGAAACAATAGTCGCCCTTGTTTAACTGTTACATACATATATGAGAAAGGTCATTAAATACACATGAGTGCTTCGAAAATCCTCTCGAGTGGCAGCTTCAATTATAAAAAACAAATTTTTCTAACATTTTGGTTTCGAACCATTGATTCGCCACTTGGTAGCAGACACTCGGCTAAAGCGGCTGCAATTTACACCTTTGCATTTAATGAAAAACCTCCGAAATCGCCTTTCATTTTGCAAAAAAAAAAAAAGATTTCAGTATAGAAACTAACCTAAAAATCCACTTAGAAAACTACTTCTATTGATTAACGGTGTAATTAACACCTATACATCTTGAATTTACTCTTCAAAATATTTTTTTTTTATGTGCGCACCATAAAAGGCTGCACGCTCTTGATGAATACGGCTCCCGCAGTACTCGTTTGAACTCAATCTTTTGAACCAATTTCTTCTTTCTACTGGAGTTTCACTTGCCGAGCCGCACTTAGCTTTCAAACCGTTTATTTTTTTTTTTTTTGCCATCTCTTAAACATGCGCTTAACGCGCTGCATTTTCTCATTTTCCTTATGTTGTAGTCACAAAAGAAACAAAACAAAAAAATCAGTGAAAAAATTCCACTTTTTTATTTCCCTAAATTTTAATCAAAAAATTTCTTCCTTGCAAATTTGCTTACAGCCAATTTCACGCTGCCATCAACAGATCTGGATTGGTTCGATGAGGTAATCTTCACCGATCTTAGTGGCGATGAGGCCAAGTCCGAGGTGAAACGCTACAATGAGAAAGGCAAGAAAGCGTTGGACGAAAGTCATCCGAATAAACGCAATCGTCGTGATCACCATCAACGCGGTGATGATCGTCGACATCGCGATGGTGGTGGCGGCGGTGGCGGTCGACGCGATTTCCATCGTTGGAATGATCGACGCGGCGGTGGCGGCGGCGGCGGCCACTCAGGTGGTGGCGGTAATCGTTGGGCCGGCGGCGGTGGTGGTGGTGGTGGTGGCTACCGCGCCGGCTGGAGGGATGAACGCGGCTATGGTGGTGGCGGTGGCGGTGCTGGTGGTCGGGGCTATGACAATCGTAACAATCGGTATAGTAATGGTCCGCAAAATTGGGTGCAAAACAATCGCGGTGGTAATCGCTATGACGACCGTTACAATCGTTCAGGTGGCGGCGGCGGTGGTCGCTATGATTCAGGTGGTGGTGGTGGCGGCGGCGGCGGTGGACGCTACAGTTCGTACGGTGGCGGTGGCGGTGGTGGTCGCGACTATCGTGATCGTGATCATCGTGAACGCAACGCAGGCGGTGGTGGCGGTGGCGGAGGTCGACGCGACAACTATCGCTCGGGTGGTGATAACCAGCGGGATTTTCGGCCTGGCCACCGCGACAATCGTACAGAAGATAGTCGCGGTGGCTATGAGCGATCGGGTACAGCGGCTGCTGGCGCGTCGGCGACCAAATACGGCAGTAATTTGAGTAATGCTGTCGGCAGCAGCGGCGGTGGTAGTAGCGCGCACAGTCATGGTGGCTATCATGGGGGGCAGAGCGGCGGCGCTCATCATGCCCAACACGGACAGTATAATAGTGGCAAGTCGGCGTCTACGGGTGGCGGTAAGGTGAGTTTGTTTGGTTTTATGGTGTTTCTTTTTATTGTGAGTTGTTGTTGCCTGAATTCGGACAATAACTATTGTTATACTTTACTTTTAGTTTTATTTTATATATTTTTTTTTTTTTGCAGAGCTCAACGCAGAGCGGTGGTAAATGGAGCTCTTATGGTCAACAGCTGTCACATCATCAGCAACAACAACAACAGCAGCAACAACAACAACAACAACAACAACATTTGTCCAGTGGTGGCAATTGGCAGCAGCAACAACAAGCGTCGACACACCAGCATCAACAATACCAACAACAATCAGGCGCCCAACAACAATACTGGGGCTATGGCGACGACATGCAAGGTGAGTACGGCTCACAAATTACGGGAGAGTGCCAACATTATTCTAATGCTGTTTATTTACAGGTTATGGCAGTAGTGCTCAACAACAACAAAACTGGGGCAACACCGATGCCAATCAGCAACAGGAGTGGTTAGCGTGGTGGCAGGTAATTGAAATAAATGGAATTGAAGTTTTTCTTTTTTCTTAAAAAAATATTTATTTTTGTCACTATAAAAAATTATTATTAAATTTTTTTTCACTAAAAAAATTATTTTTTTTCCACTAAAAATATTTTTTTTTTTTTACTAAAAAAAAATGCATTATTTTTTTTTTTTTTACTAAAAAATGCATTATTTTTTTTTACTAAAAAAATTTATTATTTGCACTAAAAAATTATTATTTATTTTTTTTCTTTTAAAATTTTTTTATTCATTTCTTTTATTAAATTTTTTTTTATTAAAAGTATTTTTAATGAAAAAAATATTTTATTGGTTTTTCCCCTAAGAAAAACTTTTTTTCATAATTTTTTTTTTTTTACAAAAACGTTTTATTTGCTTTTCCACTAAAAAATTTCTTCATTTTTTTTTTTGTTTTCCCCCTAAAAACAACTATTTTTTTTTCATTAAATTTTTTTTTTTTACAAAAAAGTTTTATTTGCTTTTCNAAAAAAGCAAAGAAAACGAAAACCAAAAATATAAAACTCACTACACTAGCTGGAAAGTTGAAAACGGTTAGTGCTCAAAAATTTATTCAATTTTTTTTTTTTTTTTTTTTTTTTAATTTATATTACAGCAAAATCAACAGCAGCCACAAGCGTCGGCCGGTGATACGAATCAATATTGGTCACAATACTCCTACCAGACAACAGCGACGGGCAATGGTGGCGGCGGTGGAAGTGGTGGTGGTGATGCTGCTGCAGGGAAAAAGTAAAAAAATTTCCAAGAAAAAAACTAAAAAATAATTAAAAAAAAAAAACGCAGTGACATAGTACAATTTAAATATACGGAAGGGAAAAAGTTATGAGTAAAGTAAATAACATATTTTATTGAATTACACACACATGCACATTGGCCAGATACATACAAACATAATGAAATAACAAGCAAAACAAGTTAAAAGGAAAACTCTTTAAAAAATATTAAAAAAAAAATTAAAGCGAAGTATGAAAAATTAAAAATAAAAAGAAAATGTAATTTGCTGTTTTGTTAGCATTACAAACTTACGCTGGCACATGTGACACACACAAAAACATACACTGCATATAGAACACATTAAAAGTCAAATCAAAACTACAAGAACATTCATTTCGCTATTCTTAAACTTAAACAAAATTTTCCAATGAGAGTTAAGTTATGCATTCTGAAAATGAAGAAAAGATACAAAAAAAAACACACAGAAAAAGAAAATGAAAAAAATGTTGTCATATGTTGAACTTGTAGAAGTCCCTCCGCCTATTAAAAACAACAACAACAACTACGACTACTAACTAAAATACAAAAACCACATTAAAAACACCACAATTTTCCCGTCATATATATATATATTTTTTTTTTATTAATTTTTTTCTTATATAATTAAAGTTAAGCAAATTAGCATAGCGCGTGATGATGATGATGATGAGTATGAGTTACAAACATCAAGTTTTAGTTGCTTTCTTTTAAATATTTTAATTATTATTATTATTATCACTACACGCTATTACAAGTTTTAAACAACAAAAATTTTTTTACTAATGCTTCTTTGTTCTTATTCATTTCATCGTTATTTACCGAAGGAAATATTTAAAATAATGTTTAATTCTATTTTCTTTAATTTCTTCATATACTATATATTTCTTTCACTACTTTTCGAACGTTTACTAAACTGTGAAGCTCATAAAGAAAGCACATGGAATAAGTTAATGTAAAGCAAAAAAAGAAAAAAAATACAAAAACGTTCTTCTTTTTTGCCTTTGATTAATAATATTTGTTAATTAAATAACTAGTTTATCTATTATACAATTAAATTATATATCTACACATATACATACATATATTTTCTATTAATAATTATATTATCTAATTTCAATTGAAATGTTAAACAAAAAAACACAACAAAACAAAACACAAAAACCGAAAATCCATTAAATTTAATTAAAGAAATAGCTGAAGCAATAGTACACACACACTGAATGGACAGTAAAGAATATTGCGTAAAAAAAAATCAAAGAACAATTGAAAATTCAATAAATTTAAGAATTACTTATTACAAGCCGTAAGTGGTAAGAAAAACAATAAACGTGTGTTTTATTTAAATATTTATATTTTTGCAATGAACTGTCATAATTTCATGGAATATCAGAGCAAGTTTGCTGTAAAGGGTTTTTATTTATTTTTTTTTTATTTTATNTTATTTTTTTTTTTTGAGAGATGGTTTCCAAGAAGAAATACAATTTTATGTTATGGACAAAAATTTAACTTTGTTATAAAGACAGGGGGGCATGCCGTTATGTTTTAAAAATTATTTCAGGCATCTGACCGCCAAATAAATTCCAGCCAAAAATCCCATTTTTCTACCATTTCTTGCAGCGTTTAAGGTAAAACGCGCTAAATATTTTCTTTGAAGGCGTCAATGGGCTCCGGTGACTTCACATAATCGCACAAAAAATAGTCCAGCGTTGTTGAAATGCAAGATCTTGGAGATTTAATTTCAATTCAGGCACGAAAAAACAATTAATTATGGCTCTGCTGCATTCCCCGCCGGCTTGATTTTTGAAAAATGGATGCGTCGAAGAAAGCATGCCCGGCGATTGGAATTTAAATGTGCTCTGCCCAATCCATAAAAAAAGGAGATCCCACAGTCTGCGCCAATTATCGTGGGATGAGCCTACTTAATATCGTCTATAAGGTCCTGTCGAGCGTATTGTATGAAAGATTGAAGCCCACCGTCAACAAACTGCTTGGACATTATCAGTGAGGCTTCAGACCTGGCAAGTCAACCATTGACTAGATATTCACCATGGGCCAAATCCTGGAAAAGGCCCGTGAAAAGACGATCGACACCCACCATCTCTTCGTCGATTTTAAAGCTGTCTTCGACAGCACGAAAAGGAGCTGCCTTTACGCCGTTATGTCTGATTTTGGTATCCCCGCAAGACTTATACGGCTGTGTAAGCTGACGCTGGACAAAACCAGAAGCGCAGTCAGAATTGGGAAGAACCTCCGCGAGCCGTTTGGTACCAAACGAGGTTTCAGACAGGGTGACTCTTTGTCGTGCGATTTCTTCAATTTGATGCTGGAGAGAATAATAAGAGCTGTAGAGCTGACTAGAGACGGTACAATCTTCTATAAGAGTGTACAACTGCTGGCGTACGCCGATGATATTGACATTATTGGCCTGAACAACCGCGACGTTAGTTCTGCTATCTCCAGGCTTGATAAAGAAGTGAAGCGAATGGCTCTGGTAGTGAACGAGGATAAGACAAAATATCTCCTGTCATCAAACAAACAGTCATCGCATTCGCGACTTGGCTCTCACGTCACTGTTGACAGTCATAACTTTGAAGTCGTAGATAATTTCATCTATCTAGGAACCAGCATTAACACCAATAATAACGTCAGCCTTGAAATCCGGCGCAGAAGCACTCTTTCCAACAGGTGCTACTTTGGACTGAATAGGCGATTGAAAAATAAAGTCCTCTCCCGAAGAACGAAAACCAAAGTCTACTATTCCCTCATCGTTTCCGTCCTGCTATATGGTGCGGAAGCATGGACGATGACAACATCTGATGAGTCGGCGTTAAAAGTTGTGCATTGGCAACGGCGAATACCGCAGACGATGGAACGATGAGCTAGCTGTACGAGTTATACGGTGATCTTAATATAGTTCAGCGAATCAAGAAGCAGCGGCTACGCTCTGATTTATGGCTAAACAAAATTTTTTTGCGAAAATCGTTTTGGGTCCATTAACCGAACGTGCGACGCATTCTTACCAGAGCTGAATTTTGCAAGCCCGCAAAGATCCTTCCGACTGTATCTTCCATAAAGTGGTTGGGCACGACTATAATAGTTGCTAGCGATGATGGATGTACTCTCTCGAGTCTTCTTAAATGCTGCACAGCACTTGTCGAAAGCTTTGAAAGCTTTTCATTGGCAGCGGAACTCGACATACTTCAGTTCTGTACAAGGCATACGACCGTGCTCGGCAAAAATGGTAGTTCAATGAACTAAAGCACAGAGTCGCAATAAAATTCTCTTACGGACAATATATTATCGCACCAGATTTCACTCACTCCACGTAAGTATCTAAAATACAGAGCCACAATGAAATCCTCAAGTCGCTAGACACAAATATCTGGTTAGAAAAAGGTTTGCTGGCAGCTTATGGGATAATCGGCCGACCTTGGATTGGCTGGTTGACACTTGAGAGAAGAGAGTTCTATGGAACTCTACTTAAAAATTCCTAAACTAGAAAATCAGATCAGCAACGGATACTCCCATAGAAGTTGTCACATTGCTTTAAACGGATGACGAAAGCAATTTTTACAGTAACAACGGAAAAACTCCGGAAATTCAAATAAAACTAGCGATGAATCAGCGTTATTGGAAAAGAGCTGTTAAAACAACAACAACAACTAACTTTTACATTTGCATTAAACGGATGACGAAAGCAATTTTTACAGTAACAACGGAAAAACTTCGGAAATTCAAATAAAACCAGTGATGAATCAGCGTTATTGGAAAAAAACAACACTAACTTTCACATTTTTTTAACAATTTTTTCGAAAAAAAAATAAGATAAGCTTTAAGAAGGGAATTTCCAAGATTTCTTATCACAACTGGGCGACGTCGTCGTGGGTAATAAAAAGGTTAACGGTCTTATAATATTTTTCCTATTTATTAATATTCCAAAATTGCTGAACATCGTTTTAATGGCTATAAAAACATGGTTTTTATTTTCAATATTTTTATTTAATTTTATATGACATGAGTATGATAATTATATTGCATATACATACATATATGTATATTGAAATCAGCGATTGATTTTGAATTTGCATTTGCATACAGATAAAATTCAATCCATATATGTACATACACACATATGTAATTATGTAAATTAAATTCAATATGCTTAAGATTTTAATAATTCAATATTTTTTGATTCTCCAAGATTCATATTTTATGTCATAAGAAATGTGTAACCAAACGGAATAACCGACATACATTTAAAGATCTCTTAAAATAGTAGTATGAATACTAAGCAGGAAAATATATTTTACTTAAAAACTAATAGATGTATGTATTTCATTTGTATGTACAGCATATAAAATCTAAATCGAATACATACATATGGATATTTAGAATGTATAAAATAAGAATTTTAGTACAATCGCTTTGGTTAATTGTTTTCATTTCGCTCTCTACTTTTTGCCGAGCAATTTGTTCATTTCCTTGTTTTGCTTATTCATCTTCAAATCGACATCTTCAATCTTATAATTCATATTGTCCAGCAATTCATTTTGCGATTCAATTTCACTATGTAAATCTGTGGCAAGAAATTTTAAACGTGACAAATTATCACACATTTCATCTAAATTCGATTCCAGTTGTTGTTCGAATGGATTGTTGCGTCGCTGTGTCTGAACTTGCTCGCGCTGCTTATATGCACTGGAATCATCACGCAAACGACTGATGGGATGATCATCATAACGTTCTGTCGGTGACATGGCTGTTGGTGATTTACTACTGGTAGCACCTGTTTCGTGTGGTTGCTGCCACTGTTGCCCACTTTGTGTCGGTACACTTTGTGCGCTTGGAGTGTGCGTTAGCGGTACATCACGATTACCGGACAAGTAATTTTTGAGTCCACCAAAAACGCTTTTCAGTCCATTCAAATGGCGTTGACTGAAACGTAGTGTTGAATTGATTTCGTCCAATTGACGTGTAGTATTTTCTAATTGTTCACGTTGTTTCGCCAATTCGGCTGCAGTGGCTTTGCCCACATCCTCCGTGTTATACAACAAATCTGGCGAAAAAAAATTATTATTAGTATTAGTTGGAAATGTACATTCTTTTGGTATTTTTTATTTACTTAAACTTCTTTGTGTAGAGTCTAGTGAGCGTTGCTCAATTTCCCTACGTCGCTCTGCGTACATTTGTAGTGGATCACTGGGCTCATCGAATGGATTCGTACTGCGAGCACCAACGCCACTGCTACGTCCAGAAGTTGTGCTATTCGAACGCGAGTTATTCAAAAATATGTCATCTTCCACATCTTCTAGGTCAGCAGCAGTTAAATCGAAGTGATTATGTACAGGCTTTAAGTAATTATCAGCCATGACTTTCTACTATGCGTTTTTTAATGTATCTAAGCTTTTAGATCTACACAAACAAATTTACGAGTTTTTTAAATACTTTTGTTGAATTTTTTAAATATTTTTACAATATTTTTTTTCCAATATTTAAAGAATCAAACTAATTTGTTATTTTACACTGTTTTAATTTTACACAAATAAAAACAATAAAATTTTTCACTGAACTACTGCCCCTTTTCGAGAAACGTCATTCCGAGAACCAAGAAAAAAATTTCACAGCTGATTTATGTTGCCATACGGCGGGTGATTTTAACTGAAATAAATGTTCACTTGCAACTCTAATCTTGTTTTGGTTTTGATTCGTTTGGCAGCTGCTTGACCAACACTGTTTTGGCGCCAAAGCAATCATTCGCCTGAAATAATTTTTACAACAGCAGTAAAGTTTTTACTTTTATATTTAAATAAACAATGGCCTACGAACGCAGCTCATTGCGCTATGCGCATACAAATGGTTACACCAGTCTCACATTCACGGAGGACGATGAATCCATCATTACTTGCGGCTCTGATGGTGATATCCGCGTGTGGAAAGGCATTGATGATGATGATCCGAGTTCCACTTGTTTGGGTGAGTTTGTTATGTGTATTGCACATAGCAGTAAACGTCTCTTGGCGTCCACCGATAGAAACACCGTGCAATCATATACATATCCTGAACTTGAGAGCGATGGCACATTAATGCGTTTCACGGCACCAGTGACGTGCCTACGCGTACATGAGAAATATATAGCTGCTGGTTCAGATGATACTAACATAAAGGTGCTCAAAAGTGATGATAACAAAAGTGAAATGCATTTACAGGGACATAGCGGTCCCGTTTTGGCGTTGGATATATGTTATAAAGGTGAATTGTTAGCATCCATAGCTGGTGATGGTTATTTGAAAATTTGGAAACTTAGCGAAGAGGGTGCAGAAGTGAAAAGTATTGCTGGTTTGCCGAAAATAAACAGTTTTGAGAACGCCGAGCATTTCGGTACGCCCAGCTTCGAACCACAAAATAGCAAGTCTCTGGCTTATGTGCATGGAAAGGAGATAATTGTATTGAATACAGACACCTGGGAAGTGAAATTTACGCTATCCGATGATCGCGTCAAGGGTGAATACACATGTTGTCGTTTTTCAAAAGACGGTCAATATCTAGCAGCTGGAACTGATAAAGGAGAAATTAGTGTATATGATTTTATGCGCAAGCAAGCATTAAAAACTGAGCCACCGTCAAGTGAGTGTCAGGCCATAACATGCATAAGTTGGAATGCAGCGGGCTCAGAGTTGGCATATTGCGATGTAACTGGTCAGCTGGGTACATTATTCCGAACGAAAGGTAGTAATGGTGCTGTATTCGCAGATGGTGAGGCGGAAGAAGTTGATTTCGGTGATATTGAATTCAATAATGAGGATAATGATGATCTCATAAGCGGAAGCGGTTTCGACGGTGTTGATGAAAATCATATTGGTGGCGATGACGATGATGATGATGGCATATCAATCGAACGACTGAAAAGCCAAGTTATGCGCAATGCTGTTGGCTACAGTGATGGGCAGGAAGAAAACACGCGTGATTCTTTACCGAAATCCATGCATAGTGAAATCGAGCCGCAGGTACATGTCAAGACTTTTAAACAACAGCCAGCCTTTCAGCCGGGCGCAACACCAACTCATTTGGAGCATCGTTATCTTGTATGGAATGATGTTGGCATTGTGACAGCGCATACGGAGGGTGCTGATGGCTCGTTGGATGTGGAATTTCATGATGCCAGTGTCCATCATTCGCTGCATATACCGAATTACAGTAATCACAACATGGCCAGTTTGAGTGCAAGTGTATTAGCGCTTTCCGCTGAAAATGCCACAAAATTGGTGTGCATTGCTTTGGCTGCATCGGGCAATAAAGAATGGTCGGTTAGTTTTCCTGATTGCGAGAGTACAGAAGCGCTAGTCGCTACCAACAAATTAGTGGGTGTTGCTACAAGCATGCAATTCTTGCGTTTATTTACAGTAATGGGTACACAGCGTGAAATTATATCTATACCGGGACCTGTAGTAGCGTTAGCTGGACATGAAGATCGTATATTAGTGGTCTACCATAGCGCACCACCTGGCACACTACAACAACATTTATCTGCAATGCTTATACAAACAGCGGGCATGCAGCTACGCACACAACACCTGCCAGTTCCTCTAACACCTGAACGTCGCCTAACTTGGCTGGGTTTTTCAGATTGCGGCTCACCGGTATTTTCTGATTCAATGGGTCTAATACAGTTATATAGCTTAAAGAGTAAATGTTGGTATCCAATTTGTGATACACTGAAACAAAGTCAAAGCGTTTCGAATAATTATTTTGTCATTGCTGTGTCGGAACGTAGTCAAATTATACAAGCCGTATTGTGCCGTGGCAGCTCATATCCGATGACTAACCCACGTCCAATGACTCAGGAATTGACAGTGCAATTACCCGTATGTGATGCCGATGTGGAGAAATCTGAGATAGAGGATACTTTGGTACGCGCTTCTATTATGAATGTGGATAACGCCGATAAGACTATTAAGGAGACGGCAATCAAGCTTTTCGCATTAGCTTGTCGTACTGAAGTTGAAATGCGTGCCAAAGAACTTATCGAAACTATCGCATGTCCCGAACTATTACTTTTAGCTGTCAAATATGCTTCAAAATTGGGCCGCATACATCTTTCAGATCGTTTATCAGAGCTAATGCCACAACTAGAAGAACAAAATCAGCGTGAACGCCAAGAGCTACAAGAATTTGAACAACAACACAACACCACATTTTCACCGCTAGTGCGTTCACAAAGTCCCAGTTTAGGACACAGTTCGATGAGTGGAAATCGTATTGCGCCGAAGGCTATGGAACTAACACATGCGCGTCGTGCATCATTGAAACGTTTTGCTATGTCTAATTCACCAGTCACATTTGGCAAAAAATCAATGATAATGAGTACGGCTGAACGTATAGCATCCCCAACGCCCACACCTGCAAATTCCGAAACGATTGAGTCACAGGAAAATATACCAGATAATAATGTAGAAAAGTTAGATGCCAACAGCGATGAATTGAAGGATGTTACACGTACTCCGCTCAATGCAGTAAATCCCTTTGCAGCTAAACGCAAACATTCAGAAGTTGACCCGACCAACAAAGGTGGTGTTTTAATAAATGGCGGAAAGTTGAAGATAGCCAAAAAATAATAATTCTAATTTTATCACTCAATTTATTATAAACTATATATTGTATTCTATTCATTTTAAATATACTGACATTGTATTCATAAATCGACCAAGAAGATTGAGTACTTTCATTTAAAGTTAATGATATATGTTATATGATATAGTTACTTCGCGTTACTTGTATATTGTCTTGTATGTTTTTCCTTCGTAACTTCCTGCGTCCTTGGAAATACTCATGATGAAAATGAAAAATGAATTAAGCTGATTTCCTTTTCCGCTTGTATTTTTCTATTTCCGACTCTTTTGTTTACAAGCATGTGCCATTGGCAAGCCTTGTCATCTTCTTTTCTTTAGTTGGTAACGCGAAATAATAACAATGAACAGCTGTTAGTCACAAATTCATGAATTTGTACATATTACTTCAATTACATGATTATCAACTACTTGATTTTAAATTTATAAGATAAAATGTTTAAAAGTATACGAAAAGTAAGTACAAAGCAACTGCTAAAAACATTTAGGATCAATTACAATGAAAGTTTAAAGTTGACAGCCAGTTGGAACATTAATGTCGTAACGAATTATAGCACACAAACTGCTTATCAAAATATATTTGATAGAAATGCGAAAAGATTACAAAAGGAACGTGCAGCACGCAGGTTAGTAGTTAACTACAACTTTGTAAATATATTAATTTGAGGCTTTTACTTTATGCCACTTTATAGCCCAGATGTCGAGCTGTATGACTACCTGAAAGAAGAAGTCGGTTTCCGCTTGGCCGATCGCATTATAGACATAAAACGTGAGTTCGCAAATGCTGCAGACATTGGCTGTAGTCGTGGTTTTCTATCCAAACATATTATGGCAGAGAGTGTACAACATTTAACCTTATGTGATACAAGTCCTACAATGTTAGCACAAGCGCAAGGTACACCAGGTCTTAAAATGACTAAGCTGGAGGTGGATGAGGAGAAGCTGGATGTAATGTAGCGTTAAATTTTAATTGAAAGAATTTTATGAAAAATTTTCTTATAGTTTGCGGAAAACTCGCTAGATTTAGTAATCTCCAGTTTAAGTTTACACTGGGTTAATGACTTGCCGGGTTGTTTCTCCAAGGTTATACGTAGCTTAAAACCCGATGGCGTATTCATAGCATCGCTCTTCGGCGGTGATACACTATATGAGTTACGCTCATCACTACAATTGGCGGAAATCGAACGTAAAGGTGGACTAGCGCCACATATTTCGCCATTCACACAGGCAAGTGGCATAAAATGAATAGTTGTTTATGGAAAAAGTTATGTGTGTATAATGAAATGTAGTATTTAATTTCAGATTAGGGATGTTGGTGCTTTATTAAATCGTGCTGGCTTCACTATGCTCACTATTGATACCGATGAAATTGTAGTGGGTTTTCCCTCTATGTTTGAATTGATGTGGGATTTGAAAGGTATGGCAGAGAATAATGCTGCTTTCAATCGACCAGCGCATATAAGTCGAGAGACTTTGTTGGCCGCAAGTGCTATTTATAAAGAATTGTATGCCAAGGTATGTGCATAGTTAAAAAAAAAAAATGTTTAACTCAAAAGTTTAAAATCTCTTCAGGACGATGGCGTTTCAGCAACTTTTCAAATAATTTATTTTGTTGGCTGGAAACCGGGTCCTAATCAACCGCAACCCCTGGCGCGTGGTAGTGGTGATGTATCGCTAAAAGATTTGGGTAAAATTATCGAAACTGGTGGTACAAAGAAAACGAAAGCTTAGTGGAAAGAAATGTTAAAAATACAAAAAACACTTCATTTCTAGAACTGAAGAAATCTATAATCTGCTTTGATATGTATGTATAAAGATAGTTGATAATTCTTATTTATGTTTTTACAACACAAAAAAAAAATAATATACATACCACAATAAATGTTATTTTAAATGAAAATTGTTTGCAAAATGCGGTCTTTATTTTTATTGACTTCTATAAATCATGTATAATAATTAATTGAATTGTAAACATAACTAAACACTAATATATCATAGTTTGTATGCATACATACATACGTATGAATGTATACAAAGCGGTGCAATATATTAAATAATATTTCTTTTACACAGTTTTTTGTTCTTTTTCCTTAAAGTTGACGTTATAGCTTTCGAAAAAATAAACATTAGCGAATATCACTTTGGTTAAACGGCTTTTTTTGTTGTTAGACAAGGTATACACGCCTTTGTAAATGAACTATAGCATACATTTAGCACACTTAGTTACTATAAAGTATAAATAATTGCTTATCATAGTAAAAATTAATTTAAAAAAAATAGCATACAAAAGAGTGTGCTTGCCTGCGTTTAGAAACACAGGGTGCAGCAGCGAAATTTACAATATATATATATATATATATATATATATATGTACATTATATATTTGAAAAATTATATTTTTTAACATATTTTAATTATATTTAATTATTATATACTCAATTCTATTTAGCTTTATTTAATTATTATATTGCTAATATTTGCTTTTTACACATTGACTTGTTTTTCTTATTAATTTTATAATTTTTATTTTTTAATTTTCATTTTCATTTTTTTCACTTATAAATGGACGTAATATATTAACGTATATTTTGTTACCTTTGTTAATTATTAGTGTCACTTGCAGCGCTTCTTTTCACTTTTCTTTTCGAAATTCAATAATAATAATATTTTATAAATAACAGTAATTTATTGTATTTAACTGTGCATTGCAAATTGTTTAAACTCTGAAAGATTGTTTCAACTCGCTTAACATTTGGCTTATTTTTTATATTTATTTTAATTTTTTTTTTTACTATTTTTCAACTATAATTTATTGCATTGGCTTTATTGAAGTTTTATTTGCTGTTTATAATAAATGCAATGTAGATTAATTTTTATTTTTATTTTTTTCGTGAATATGTTGGTATGTATACATGGTTTAGTGCTATTAAACTTGCAAACAGTTTGAGATAGCAATTTTTTTTGTTGAAATATCGGCATAAATGACATTTAATTTGAATTTATGGAAAAATATAATAAATAAGACTTTTCAACTGGTCTACATATCTATATGTATGTATGTTTTAATGTTTAATTTTTTGTACAATATGTATATATTTGGTAAATTATTGAAAATAATTCTCTGAAAAATTTAGTATAAATTTTTTTAATCCATAAAAAAACGCAAAATAAAATTAATCAAAAAATTAAAAAAAAAAAATAATAAAGTCACAAAAAAAATAATAATAAAAAGTCACAAAAAAATAATAAAAGAATAATACAAAAATTTAAAGAAAATCAGTAAATTTTTATTGCTAATAACTAATCGTAAATCGACTTAGATGGTTATGGTTAAAGGAAATAGTGAAAATGCGTAGAAAATTTAGAGTGAAACACTTATACATATGTACATATATACATACATACAATTCATACAAGTTATAAGGAATGCTTTGGTGTGAAGAAAAATTTGTGAAAAATGTGGTTAATTTTAATTTTCTAACCTAAAAAAAAAATTGTTTTCATTATATATACAGATATGCACGATATATAAAAAAAATAGCACAGTATAAAAGTTAAACAGTGCAGGGCAGAATTAATAGCAACGAACCTATTGACTTATTTCCAGGCCCAAATACAGCCTTCATAGAACCAAAATGTGGTTTTTGGTGGTGTTGTTATTTTATTTACACAGACAGAAGATCTTGTTCTTAAGGCAAAACGTAATGTAGTATTCTGTTTGCGATCTTTGTCAATTAAATGCTTATATTATATATTTTATATGAATGATACGAAGGCAGGGGATTTCCGATTATAACCGAACGGAACCGAGGGCTAGAAAAGCAAGTGAAACTAATATACAGCAAAAGCTTAGGCGTCCTCATGTGCAAACATTCAGCCCAAAAGTAGACAGTTAATAGAATTAAACATGATGGGGGTGGCTCGATTGCTTCTCAACAACAGGTAGCGAATGTATCTAATGGATAACGGAAAGTATGTGAGCTGTAGACTATCGGGATATTTTCTTTATGCACGACAACGATGTCAAGCACTTCTCGCAACTCCGTTTCCGTTATGAACTGGGGCACACATTCTCTCTACGGGGTTAAAATTCGATAGAGAAAGGTTGGGATGCTCTTAAGTGGTCTTAAGAAGGTTACAAGTACATAAATAAGCACCAAATGTGGGGAAAAAATAACAAAGGGCTTGATATAGTATTCCGTTGCAGTTTTGCGTCAAACATGAGAAGTCCTTCCCACGAAGATGCTGGAAAGTGGTTACAATGAAAAAGGGTACGCCAAAAAATATTAAAAATTACTTTTAATTAGAGTCAGCTATTAATAATTCGTTTGCTGTCCCTATTTATTCCACTCTGAATTAGTAATTGTACTTTTTATTTTATTAACACAAAGTTTTTGTTAAATTACAACAAGAAATGAAAGAAATCAGGTATAATAAATTTAATAGCAAATATTTATATTAAAATAAAAATTTATTAAAGTAAAAGAAAATAGTGAAAAAGTTGCTAAAGCAGTTGTCGCCATCAATTCTGTCACCTATCTATGATTGTGTCAGTACATTAGTAATACATAGTATGGCAGTATCTGAAAAAGAGCTTAAACAATATGAATAGCTTTAAAATAATAAAAAAAATAAATTACTTCTTTATTTATTCATATTTTGGGAACGCATTAATAGGTCTAAAGACGGTTATCTAACACATTTTTTAATGTTTTCTTATTGGTGTGCTCGACTTATTCACTAGTAGAGCATTTATGAAAGTTATTGATGGAGATTTTGTAAATCAAAAGCAAAGAAAAAAAAATAACCTTATTATTGTTAGAAAAACCCACGGAATAAAAAGGAATATTGACTCCAATGAACTAATATATTAACTTGGGTTAATATTTTCTTAACGTAAATATATAATATCTAGTAATAAAACCTTCAAAAAATTTAAAAAAATTTTTCTATGGTCTTTAAAATGTCTTGGTGTAGTAAATTGTTTTTAAAAAAGTGAAAAAATTGCTACAATATTTAACTGAGTGAAATAAATCCCAATAAACAAAAATGGTTGCACATTTTTGGGGGACGTTTTTTTTATTTCTTCATGTTAAACTCTTGCCTAAGAATTCCGCTAATGAGATTTACCGTAGAATAGTTTTCTAGAACATTTCAACACTCTAACGGCCTTGCGTACTCAATTTTTGAGAGAATTTTTGAGGTCGTTTGAAAAATTCTATGAAATTGTTTTTTTTTTCTGGGAAATTTTATTAATTTATATATCTGTCTACTTCCTTTCACTCACTTATATATGTATTTTAATAATAACTTCCACTTTTTTTAAACCATTTACTACGCCAGGACAACCAAATTTTGGAAGATCACCGAAAAAGAATTTAAAAATTAATTAATATTTTTTTACTAGATATATTCAGATTTAAGAAATATTAATAAAAATGTTGTAGTGTAAAAAAGTGTTATATTCTTCAACAAGCAAAAAAAAAAAAAAATTAATTCGTCAACATTTATGTTTTTATTCACTTCATTTAGTTTTTGAATGCAACTCTGGTAAATGTATAACCAAATAATTTTTAACTCCTTTTGGTATATTTTTGAATAAACATTTTACAAAATGGAATTATTTATTTATGTCTGTACACAAACAAAATGCAAAAAATATTTTAATTCTAAAGGAAGCTCTTGTATAACAAGAACTCAAACGTTAAATATACTCGTAGGTATGTATGTATGTATGGAAAGGTACAAATAATTGTATGTAGTTAGGTAACTGCGCTTACAATTTGCAGAAAAATGTGAAAAAACTAATAACTAAATCTTACGATGGAAAGGAAAAAAGCACTTTCAATTGCTAATTCTATGATTTTGTGTGCGAGTGTGTGTATATATATATTTTTTTTTTTATTATCCTTTTGTGATTTACAAACTGCTAAATTGCTCTTGGACACACTCCTCCTCAACTATGGTGCCATTTGGTGAACGCATATGATAAGTACCGCTAAATTTTTGCGTTACTTGATGGTGATACTGCTGATGTTGTTGTTGCTATCCAATAGGTAATGCAGCAGCGCCAGCTGGCCTTCGCATTGGCGATCCCACCACAGTAAGTGAAGAAGACGTTGGCTGTTGACGTGTCGGTGTTGGCGTTGGCGTAGGCGTTGGTGTTGTTGGCGGTGGCGGCGGAGGTGGTGCCGGTAGTGTTGATGTTGGTGTTGGTGTTGGTGAAGGCGTTGTTGAATAAAGTTTGGTTGGCGTTGCCGACGCTGACGCTGACGCCGATGCTGAAGATGTGGAAGTAGATGTTGTTGCCATTATTGCTGTTGTACCGGTCATACCGGTAGCAGCTGTTATGGATGTGCACGACGTAGATGCCGACGTCGTTGCCGTTGCTGAGGCAGAGCCTGACGCCGCCGCCGCAGCTGCTACTAGATTAGCCTGCCGTCAGGTGGTGCTCAATAGCAGCATATCACGTTGTGGCGTATTTTGCAAAGCATTTGCTGTCTTTAAGTGGATACTGTGAAAAGTGTAGTGCAAGAAGAAGTGAAAATGAGAAATCTTTAAGTTTGCTTCTTTTTTTTGTTGAAAAAACTTAAATTGAAAACTTGACAAATTTAATACAGTTGGACGAACGTCTGTCATAGCAAACACAGCTAACTGTTGCATTTAAAAGCCACAACGGAAGCTTTAGAGTTGCCAATGTGTTTTGAAATTTTGATCAATATTGAAAATTTTAAACTCTTAAATTTCCAGATTCAAAATATTGAAGTAATATAAATGAGAAAAAGAAAAAATTAAATATAAATTATAGAAATGTACTCACTTATTGTCTTCCAGCGAGAATGTCTCCGACGAACCGTGCGAGGCCACCGAAGTACCTGCAAGCGAACTTCGTATTGAGTGCGAGTCCTCGGGTACGTTTAGCGTTACTAGCATTTTTCATTATTATTAAATGTATGTACATATTGATTTTTGTTTTCGATTTTTGTTTGTTTGTTTGTTTGTGATTAAATTGATTTAAAACATTTGTCGGTGGTGATGGATAGTTGGTTGTTGATTGTTGTTAAAAAAATCATGTAAAATTTTTTTCAATTGGAAATTTTTCATTAGTCAATTCATTGTTTGTGGTTGTAGGTGGATATTGTTTGTTGTTGTCCAATTTTTTTTTTTTGCGTAATATTAAAGATGTAAATGAGAATATTTTGCAATTAATTTTTGAAATTTTTTGTTGCATTTGCGGAATGTTTTAGTTCAACACGCACACATTTTCAATTTCCGTTTTTATGACAATATTTTGTTTTAATTTTTAAAATTTTTGTTATTATTATTTTTTTTTTGATTTGCATTCAAGCCAATATTGTTGTGAAATTATTTGCAAAAGCGAAAAATACCAATTTTTGATTAATATGTTGTTTGTTTGTTTGTAAAAAATTTTTGTTTCAGTAAAATTAAAGAATTACTTTTTTTTTGCAATACAAAGGGAGTGTAATATTTTTTTATGCAATATTTCAAAATACAGAGAAAGGTAGTAAATAGTTTAGAGAGAGGGGGTGTATGTGTGTGGCGGTGCGCCTAGCTTTTTATAGAAAAAAATCGAAATTGAAGTTTTATAGCAGGGAAGTGCGTGCGTCATACTCTGTTAGTAGTTGTGTTAGTTGTAATTTATTGTTATGCAATTTTACTTAAATTTTAATGCAATTATTTTTTAAATATTTTTATAAACACATAATAATAATTCAAAAATGCTTTTTGGTGGACTTTGGCAAATAATTTCGAGCATTTAAACACAATTAGCATGCAAAATAACTGTAAAAACGTGTTTTTTTTTTTCAAACAAAAGTTAGAACAATATTGCGTAGTGAGCTACATACATATTTGCTTAAACAAAATTAAAAATAAAAGTACACTTAAAATGCTATTTTTTTTAGTTATTTTATTTATAAAAAAAAGTATATAAAAAACCGTGCTCGATTACAACTTGGTTTCAATAAATTTTAAAAAATTTGTAGGGGAAAAAACAAACAAATAATTAATTATTAAATATTTTTAAGTAATAATAAAACCATTAGATAATAATAAAAAACAATAAGTCAATAAAAAAATTAAATAATAAAAAAACAATTTAATGATAATAAAAAAAAAAACAATTAAAAAATATTAAAAAAATAAGAAATAAATAAATTAAAAAAGGCACACACTAAACAACATAATTTTTTTTTATAATAAAAAAACATTTTCTATAGTTTTCGCAGAACTAAGAAATAAATAAAAGAGTCTTTTAAGTCAATTTAATTTTTTATGAACGCATATTTTTAATGTGTAATTTATTCATTAAACAGCTATTCATTGAATATCAGTACATTTTTATTTATAAACGAAAAAACACATAAACTACACTGCAAATTATGAAATGCATAGACTTTTAATTGTTTTGTACAAATTATAAATGTTTCGTACTATTATACATATACATATATATTTTTTTAATTTAAATCATTTTCTTTTTTATGCAAGTGTCATGGCGCTCGGCGTACGAAAAGCGCTATGGAATTTTTAAATGCACGAGTGCAAAAGTGTGAACTTGCTAGCAACGCTATGCTATAAAAGCGGCAATACATCTGATAAATGATATAAGTATGTGTACACCAAATGTATACATAACTATTTTAACAATTTTTCCATCTCCATTGCAATTATGCAAAGAAAAATTTTACTTTCGCGTGTTATTTTATTTGTCCCGCAATAACTGCCGAATATTTGACAGCTAAAACGTTACACAATTGAGGAGGCTGCCACTGTGTTGTATCGCACGTTGCGATTGTAAATCAAACAAGCTCATTACAATCTTTTTTTCTTTAATTATAATATATAATATACAAATGCATACATAAAAAGTCGATAAAGAATATAAAATGTTGTTTTACGTAAATATATAACATATGTAGTAAAGGTATTAAATTATAAGTAGAATATTGTATATATATAATAGACTTGTTGACAGACAGTACTTGTTCGTATATATGAATAAAATAGGAATTAAATGTTCAATAGTTTTAAGTATATATATCGAAAAGAATATCAATACGCAGCATATACAATATATGCTCATAAAAAAATAATATAAATGGTGAAATAGAAAGTATATAGAGTGCGACTAACGTTAACGGATATTTTCGAAAATTTGGCACAGACTCGCATACAATTTTTTTTAGCTTTGCATATAAACAATACGATATTCTGGAACAGAAATATATTTCACTTAAAAAATAATAATAAATTTGAAAATTCATTTATTTAAAAAAAGCTTATGAGAAATTAAAGAAAAATTATTACTACTAATTCTAATTATTTGCATTATTTTCTTAAGCATTTTCTGCTGAATTTCTAACTTAAAAAAATTAACTACATACAGCGTATGAAAATTTACTAGTGAAAGCTTAATGAGCGAATATTTTAAATTCAAACTTTAATTTGCATATTTTAAGGTTTTTTCGTTATCAAATTCTTTCAAAAAAAAAAAAAAAAAAAAAAAACAAAAAAGGTAACAGGGTATGAACTCTGATTAAATGCAGATTTTTATTGAATACATGATATTGGTATTTGTATGTGGTCGATGTGATTAAACAGTTTGTCTTATAAATGACATTCAATTAATTATTCTTTCTTTCATAATTTTTGTTATTTTATTTTTTAAATTATAACCAGTTTTTTTTTTTAAATTGTTATCAATTTTGTTTCATATTATAAACATAAATGCCTATTTGCTACATATTCGGTGACATCAAGGCGAAATTTTGCGAGAATTCATTACTTAAAATTAGTACCTTTAATGTATTTTCAATAATAAATGCGCTAAATACTGTCGCGAAGCTAAGGGAATGTTTACAATCAGCAATTTCAATACGAAGAGCATTAAAAAAACATCATCAGGGAGATTCAAAAGTTCATTCAAAATCACATAAATACTTGTATGTGTCGAAAGTTGACATTGCAATTAAAAAAAAAAAACTATTAGTGAAAAAATAAAAGCAAAAGCGCAATTCATAATATAAATAACTTTTTTTAAACACTAAAATTCAAATTTAAAATTTATATAAAGAATTTTTCTAAGTTTTGTATATGACTAAGCACAATATAGTCTGCAAGCACTGTAGGCAATAAGATATGGTAGCACTGCTTGCGGGCGAAACCAACTATCAAGCAATTTTTGCAATGAGAATGACAACAATTTTCAATTAGCTCCTTCAAAAATATCGTAAATAAGGTTTACTAAAACATAAAATAATGCAATGGCTCTATTATGTAGACATAAGAAACTTGTTTATGAAATTTAAAATGCTTGGGCAATATAGCGCTGCCTAAGCTATACACATACGCATACAGTGTGGCATCTTCAGCAGCTGTTTTTGAGCTGTCATTTCATTTAAATTAAATTAAAGTATTTTCAACTTCAAAATTGTAAAATTAACATATATTTGACAAATAATAAAAAAGAATAGGGGGCAAAGAATTGTCAAAATTAAGTGAATCCATGCAAAAGGCAACAAAATATTTGATAAATGTCTTTTAGACTCAACAGACTCCAAATCGAGGGAGTATTTTTATGAATGCGGAATTACGAGGGTTATAGGGGGCGTGATTAGGTTAATTAATTGACTCATAATTAGTATAAATACGAGGTGCTATTAGACAACTAGTCTTCGAGAGAAAGACAGAGAATGTGAAATATGGAAAAAATCTAATATCGTGCCATTATGAAGTACGCTACCAAGTGAAGAAAATCAGTTGTGACTAACAAGTATAAGATAGCATTGACTTACCAAGAGTCATATATGGCTAAAACCATGACGTTTTCTTAGCACTTAGGAATATTATTAATCAATTTAAGGATAAAGGTATTAAGCGCCTAGCACTTTTGAAACATTTTAAGGCAAGTGTAAGTTTTCTATGTTTTACATAATTGAGCTATAGGCTTGACATTTAAGGTATGCCAAAATTAATTTTATTAAATAAATAAATGAAATATCAAAATTCAGTTTTTATAGTGCGTTCAGTCTATAAATTTGGATATTTTTGCGTAATTTTTTAGCAAGGAATTAAATGCTAAAAATCTTTTTTTTTTTTTAAGCAGAGAAGCAATAATAATTGAAAAATTAAGCTTAAAGGCTAGTTAATTAAATTGGCATTTTAACTACATACATATATACTTAGTGGCTTTTTTTTATAATTTTTAAGCTTGAATATATAATATAACATGGTATATATGGAATCACTTAAATTTCTGATAATTTTTTCATTTTATAAATATTTATGCATGTAAATATATGTATATTTATAGCCGAGTATTTTGTACGCTGAGCTCATCATCATCTACATTAGCGTCATTTTCATTAAACTCTGGTGGTAAATCGTCAACGTGCCCATAGTCAACCTCAGCGTCAGTATGATTTTGTAACGGTAACATTGTATGACTATAACTATAACTATTACTGTGCCTATAATTATGACTGTAACTGTTGTAATTGTTGCCGTGATTATTGTGACCGTTATTATATGCGCTAGTAGTATTGTTGTCAATGTCATTATTATATAATTTATTGTTGGTGGTGACAACAAATCCATTACTATATAATGAATAACTGCTAACTGCCGGTGAGGTGGCTAAACTAGTGATACTTCGGTACGTTTTCATTGAATATGCATCACCTAAAAGAAGAAGAATGTTTCGGGGCGAAGTTGGTGGAAAAAGAAAAAAAATTTTGATTTTATTTCGTTTGTGTGTGTGTGTGTGTGTGTGTGTGTGTGTGTGTGTGTGTGTGTTTGTGTCAAGAAACGGAGAAAGAGAGAAAGTAAAATAATCATCATGACAATAATCTCTCAATAATAATAACATCAATAATAATAATGACAAAGTTGGTAGGTTTATTAAATACTATAAATATGTTTGTATGTATGTTTGTTACAAAACTGTTTAAACCAATTGAATTTAGAAAAATATTTAAGACGATCATTGAAAATGGCTTACAAACAGAGACAGTGAAGGAAGGTAATACGTCCAGTAACCAATGATAAAAAAAAGTATGTATGTACATATGTATATGCATATAAAGCGGTTAGTTATTTGAAAGTATGTATATGAAGTTATGAATTTGAAAGTTCCACTGAAGCTTTAGAAGTAGTCCAAGCAAAATTATTAACTATACATATGTATGTATGTATGTATGTATGTGGGTTTTGAAGCTGTAGTAATGGTTCCATTTAAGTAGCACCAGTATTCCACTTAGTTTTTAGGCGGTTTTTTGCATATACTACATATATATTGTATGTAAAGAAATAACTGTACAAGTAACGGTTAATATATAGTATGTAAATACGTTTTTCATTTTAAACAAAAGTCATATTTTATTTTTTTTTTATACTCATACAACAATATCACATTGCTTTAAATACCAAAAATAAATGGCACCACTGTTATTGCAACTTGAAGTTGGTTGCTATGCCCAACATGTGATTCAAAGCAAAAATTTAATTATAAGTTTTTATTTCAGAAATTTCGGCAGATAAAATATAAAATTATCAAGTCAATTTAATCGAATCGCAAGGAAACAGCTGTAAAATACATACATATATGTATGATAGGTACATATATTGGACAATAAAGCAGTATATATATCCATTAACAAGTGTTTGAAAGTTGACGAAACAGCTTCGCTAAAATTGTAAAGATGCATGGTGATGGTGCTCTTAGTCGTGCCCAGATTTTCAGGAGGAGCGTGAAAGCGTGGAATGTAGCCGTAGAATCGCCCGCAAAGAATTTCTTCGACCAGGACAAACCGTAAATCAAGTCTACTATCGCCAAGTACTCGAAAGAATGTGTGCGCGGTACCACACCGCCTCAGCGTGTCCCAATATTTGGCCCCTAAAGGGATCGCTGTGTTGCAACAACCGCCTTATTCGCCCGATATGTCACCCTGAGACCTCTTTTTGTTCCTTAGAATAAAATCGGTGGTCAAAGGAACCCCTTTTGAGGACATCCAGGCGGCTGTGACGAGTGTACTCGCGGACATCTCAGTCGAAGCGTTCTAGAAATATTGCAAAGCATGGAAAACGCGCTGAAATCGTTGTATAGTTCCCCAAGAGGACTACTTCGAAGGGGATGCCAGAGTTGTAGCATAATTTTGAAATATACGGTTTTTATTGAATCAGTCTCATACTTAATTGTCACAGTCTCATTACTTAATTGCCACATTTCTGAGCTCTAGTGTCATAACGATCATTTCAGAGCTCTACTAAGCTCTTAAAAAATACAGCCATAATTGATCAATATCCGGCAACGCCAGACCATAAATAATTTTGATGACCAGGTAAAAATTGTCGAAGCTTGTTTGAAAGTTTTTATACCCTGTTATAGACCTTGCACCATCTGAAAATAGATTGTTTCAGTATACGCAAAATTCTCTTGAAGAGTCACTAATAATCATTTTACTGAGTTCTTCGTCAATAAGCCACAGAATTTTTGCTGATCGAATCATGAAACTTTCCGAAAAATGGAAAACAAAATATTTATGAAGATCATAAATATATTATGTATGTATATTTGATTATAATTAATCTAAGCCTTTTTTCCTGAATGACTGACGGATCAACTCGGAGCCTAAACCACTGTTGGTAGGGACTTGAAACTTGGGCGGTGTCTTCTGCGTAGGCATAGACCTCCGATAAGAAAGGATTTTCAGGTTGTGAACCTGAAACCTAGGAACCTTGCGGAAGTTAATCTATATATGGCGGTCGCGGTAGCCGAGTGGTTAGCATTGCGTACTGACATTCGGAAGGCTGGGGTTCAAATCCCCATGCGACCAACATTAAAAAGCTATAGAAAATTAATTTAAATAAAAAATTAAGTTAAATTTTCCAATTGCGGTCGCCCCTCGGCAGGGAATGTCAACCTCTCCGATTGTATTTCTAACATGAAAATCAAAAGCTCCTCAGCCTTTCGGAGGCGGCTTAGTATAATCTGTAGGACCCTCCATTTGTTGGAAAAATATCAAGACGCAAAACCACAAATTGGAGGAGGAGCTCGGCCGAAAATCGCTTTAGCGGTTACAAAGCGCCAATTATATTGTATATATATAATCTGTATATGGAGACTTTTCTTTTTGGAAGTGAACTCGGCACCGATCTATTCAGAAAAATCGTATTCATCGTTCGATTTGCTTGAAGAGAGGAGAAATTTTGGGAAACTAACAAAAACCTCATTAGAACATTTTAAAATTCCATGCGGACGAAGTCGCGTGTAAACTCTAGTTTTCAATATCGATATTATATTATGTCAAAAATCGTTTTAGCGATTATAAATATGCAAATATAAATTTTTATATTTTGATATTGATCTGAGCAATCAGCTGCTGCTTGGTAGAGAGCAATCTTGTATTTTTAATATTATTCAAATGACCAATATATGTACATAAAGTTTGAAAATGGCAATTTAAAGTGATATTAGATACAAAAATAAGAAAGATCCGAAAAAATTCGCCACGGATAAATAAAACATGACTTTTTATTATAATAAACGACATTTCGAAATAAATATTGGTTATTAAGTACCTTGTCTTGGTTAATAAGTTATAAAAAGCTAAATTAAAATAGTTTAAGCATTTATAATTTATAAGAAAATGTTATAAATATATGTACATACGAGTATAAGTAAATATATTAGACAGAGAGTAATTGTTAAATTAGTTTTTTATGTATTTATAGCCATGTTTATTAAGTTCAAATTCATTTAATATACAAATAAGTCTTCTATATCCTGAGATTAGCTCTTTTTTAATTAAATATTTATTAATCTGAAATTGTTTACAACTTTATATTGCTTAACCCCAGCAAAGAAGAATGGAAGATTGATTATAACACTCCCATTGATAGCCTGGAAATGTACACGGATGGATCAAAGCTTGAGAGGAGAGTCGGCGGTGGTGTACTTTCAGAAAAATCTCCCATGGAACGATCTTCCAGGTTAACAGACCATTGTCTCTAAAGCGGAGATGTCTGCTACTATTATAGAAGAAGCAAAGCAAATCGAAGCTTTTAAGATAAGGTTATCTTCTCTCTCTCTCTTTTAGCAAAAATCAGGCAGCCATAAAAGCACTGACCTCGCTTGTGCTAAATGCCGAAAATGTGCTGAAACGGACACCTAACAGCGAAAAGAAGGCTATTATTGCGGAAGCGGTGATCACACCCGTAAAGAGGCCTCGAATACACAGAAATTTTTAATTTCAAATGCTACTAAATGCTCTCAAGAAACGATTTCAATCGATATTGAATGAAAGAAATCGCTCAGACCTCTGAACACTAGGTATGATATCTAATTGTTTACATATTTTTTAAAAAATATGGTGCCATAGATTGAGAGGCCCTAAGGGGTATATGTTTAAGAATTTCCTGCGGAAGGCATGTCTTACTGTCATAAGAGACGACTAAAATCCAAAAGTTCCCGCGACAAAAAGGAACGACACAGATTTTTATCTGGTCACGGACTATCACTACCGAAACATACTTGACAACAGAGCCTTGAAAATAACTAAATATAGTCTTTTCAGTTTTCTAACCACACATTTTATGGGTGCTACGATTTTTTGTTGGTGCTGTACGTATCAAAACTCTATTAAAATTACTGAACGCAGGTTAGCTATTTTGAAAAAAAGGATATTAGTTAAAATTAATTGAATTAAAGGACAAAACAAGAGAGAAAATAAAAGAAAATAAATTAAACAAAATTAAGAATCCATTAACCATAATCAAGTCCCAATAATAGAATTTACAAGCAATATACTATGTAAATAATGTAAATATTCACATTGCCTTCTTGGTAAACTCTTTTTTCGTTATAAATATGATTCATTGAATCATATCAAACTTATGAATGAAAGCGATAAGAAAATGTAGAATTTATAAATAACCGTAATTGTAATAGATGTTAATAAATAAAATGCTAACGAACGTAAATAATCATGTGCTAATAAATAGTTTATTCAAATTCAATTTCTATTGCCAATCAATGGCAAGCCTCAAGCAACGACTTTTATCGATAATAAAAATAAAACACATCGTAAATCTATAAATATTATACTTATGACACAACACCTAGCAATAATTATACAATTTTAAATGTTGATAATGAAATAGTGATTAGCAGGAAAAATGTAAACAACAAATGTAAACAAAACAAAAGAGGAAACACAGCAAGCGACAAACAATTTGATATAAAGCAAGCATTTCGATAAGTTTGACAAGCTGAATGCGCAAGTGGCTAGCAATTTATAAGAAAATATTGTGCAAATAAAAGTGGATTAAAGTGTAAACTACGAAATGATTACAGTGGCAATTTAAAGCGCATTGACATTAAAAAAAAAAAAAACAATATATGTGTTTTTGGTATAAAGAGAATTATAGAAGTGTAATAAATAATTTGTAGACGCTTGGATGTTTCTCATGTCGCTGCTGGCATATCTGTGCTATATGTTTGTACGCCTACAAAGCACAAATATGCTTACAAATTCATGTATATTTGTTTGCTTTTACATACATATATGCAAATACACTTGTACTTGTTATCATCATTCATTGAGAGGGTATATAAAAAGAATTTAAATTATATTAAGTGTGTCATAAATGTTAAGGCAACGTTCAAAAATTATATGGATATTCAGATGTTCAGCGACTAAAAAAGGGTCAAATATATGTATGTACATATTTATAAATATATACATATTTATCGCTGAAGCGGCCGAGCACCTCTTCCTCCCAACAAATGGAGGGACCTACAGTTTATTCTAAGCCGCCTCCGAGCGGCCAATGAATTTTTATGAGAAACTTTGATTTTCTTGTCAGAAATACCCTCAGTGGACTTTACATTTTCAGTTCAAGGTCGTCCGCAGTTAGAAAAATGAATTCTCTATAATTTTGGATGTTCGTCAGTCCAACACTCGAATCCTGCGGCCGAAAAAGTTAGACTATTTCAGAGCAATATTTAAATTTTATACATATTGAGAAAAACCATACCCTCTATATGCGCCTCGGGCGCCATATACATATGTAAAACGTAATTGCCGATTTGAAAGCCAGTGTGGAAGAAGAAGTTATTATCCGTAAAGATACAGCTGGTAGACATCTTTCCTGTGCTCTATATGTGCGTACGTACCGAGAGCTTAATAGGGACGAAGACTACTACCGTATACATAACAGCAAAGCTACATATGCGCCTCTGAGCGACAAAGAACGCCCGTTAACAAACACAAGGAGGATTCTACGTCAAAAAGCTACAATCATAAGAGACATACACTCCGTTTTTTACCCGACTTGTACTCCTGCTCTCTGAGAGTACTCATTTAGAATATGAAGAGAGATATAGATATATATAGAGAGAGAGATTATGACATTTTCCGTCCCTATTGCAAAGTTGAGATCGTGCGACGACCCGGCGTGAGAGATAGTTAGCGAGAGTTCAAAGAGGAAGCGAGACATTAGATTTGCAGCCAGACAAAGAGAAACGTTGCAATGGAAGAGTAAAAAGAGCTTACAGGATGAAAAGATACAGGTATTTACAGAAAATATCAAAACCGGAATAAACTCAAGTAGGAATCAAGAAGATAATCGGCAGATCGATGCCTAGAGCATACTGAGTTTATGGAGGAAACACTTCTCTTGCCTGTTCAAGGGTTTAAAAAGTGCAAAACTCGATGGTGAATCCAAATCTTCAATCGATGTTGATGGAAAAGTAGATGGCTTGCCGCCTGAGCTCTGTTAGAATTGGGAAAGTCCTTTCCGTGTCGTTCGGTACGAAACCAAACAAGCGAGTTGGTCTAGTAATGAATGGGGACAAACGTGGGAGCTGCCTCCAACCATATCAGTCTTGGAAATCCACGCAGAATCGACGTCTTCCACAGGTGCTGCTTTGGACTGAAGTGAAATCCTCTCTCGATAAAGGAAAATCAAGCTCTACAAGTAGCTTGATATAGGATATAGAAGCGTGGACGACGTCGACACCAGATGAGTTGGCATTAGAAATTTTGGAAAAGAATGTTTTGCAGTAGAGTTATGATCCTCTGCGCATTAGAAAACAATAGCAAGTACCGTAGACCATGGGTGGAATTAGAATTGATTCAAAGAATTGGTTGCTCGCAACGAATGCGATAGGCCGGCCGGTGGTAAATTACTAATGCTCCGATTTCGACGCCGGACATTAGCGAGATGCAAATGACAGCAGAACACCTGATTCTACCGAAGCATCTATGCTACGATTTAAGGGTCATAATCCTATGCCGTGCAAGCAATAACAGCTGGATTGCTACCATCGGAAGTAGCCCAACAGACTTTTTCCCGAAGCTAAACCTCCACCTAGGCACATCAAAAAGAGACTACTAGACTATAAAGATAGGGCACTGTTAGGCTTTAAGCGTCATTCAGTGAGTGTCCGCCAAAATCTTCATGAATAATTTTCCAAGAATGACGTTCTCAGAATGAGCTGAGGAGCTGTCTCGAGAGACTGGAGCTCAATTAAAAACTGTAGTCGAATTAATTTCTACGCATCCAGACTTGACCCCGAAATACCCAACGTACATATAACCTGCGAGCGACACATATAACCTGCACGTTCCCCTAAAACCAACTCATCCAACCCGCCTTTTCCTCTGATCCGAGCTCGTCAAAACAGCCCGTTCTTTTTGGACCTTCCGTAGGATCAGCTGAATGACTTAGACTAGTATCGCCTGTTCCAAAGCGATGTTGGCAATATTCTATAACAACAACAACATGCATCGATGAGCTGGGCGTCAACTTGGCACGATAACGGCGGGAACAAGCATTCTCGCTCTCTACTTCATGTGATTATTTGTCTCTGAGGCAGTAGTTTCAAATATTTAACGAAAGTTATCAGTTAGTTTATCCTACTTATCTTATGTACATTTTTATTATTTATTAAATTAGTACGCAATACATGATAGGAAACAAAATTAATTATATTTACACATGCAGGGCACCGTAATACCAATAGAAAAATTAAGAAAATATTTACAAATTTACAAAATTTCAAAAATATAATGGATGTTGGTAGTAGATAAAGCATTTTAAAAGAAAGCTAGCACCGCACAGTGAAATGTTTGGGTGATTTGTGAGGCGAATGAGTGAAAGGAAAATGTTGTACTATACATATTTTACTTAAATGAAGTCTTAAAATATCAACAATACCATTCAATATACGTTTCTGAGCTCAAATATCCGTGAAAAATAGGAGGACTGTTCATTTCCAGACCTATATCAGACTGTGTTCTAAGCCGCCTCCGAACAGCTGATGGATTTTTATAAGGAGTTTTTATGTTCATTTCAAAAATATACTCAGAGAGTTTAACATTCCCTCTCGAGAGGTGATCGCAATATTGATTGTTGGTCGGACCTGCACTCTAACCCCGGCCTTCCGATTGGAAGTATGTACTTCTCATATCATCAAAAGTAGTATAACTACCAAGTTTGGTTGAATTCTTTTGGAAAATGGCTTCATTGCTAGATTTTAAAGAAAATGGCGAGGAGAGGTTGAAAAGTAAAAAATCCGTTTAATGAGACGAAAGCGTAGTTGTTGCCCCATTGCGTCTATATTCAATATGTGTTTTTACCAGGCCATAGGAGTTACTAGTATTAAAATTTTATCGATTTCTGTCCGGTGGTTTTTGGGATATATGTATGTATATACTTTTTGACCCAAAAGTGGGGTTATACCTCGCTCATGCGAAATTTATGTCCAGCCCTCATCAATTTTCCATTTAATGAGAATGTCATCAACAAATTAGACTTTAATTGCTCATAACATGCATTTGCGTGTACCTGACGGACGGAACGGACGGACAGATATACAGTAATGGTGAAATCGGATTCGTCTCATCATTTCATGAAGTTTGATATACATATGTCCATATCTATCTCGATTATTTTATGCCGTTACATAGTACCGTTAGCCGAACAAACCCAATATACTCGCTATAATTCAAGCGAGTGTAAAAAGTATTTCTTATAATTTAGAAATTTTTTTAATTAAATTTAAATTATTTTTGTATCCATGTTTAATTGCGATTTCTCCATTCAATAAAAAATTATTGGTGTCCATATTTTAAAACTTCATTTTCAAGACCCAAGTCTTCTATTTATACTTTATATACAAATCTACAATATTAGCAGGGTTCTTCGATTAGCAAATGTAAACGCAGAATTACAATGAAATAACGTAAAGAACAGGCAAATTATTAGTAGTGTTATTTAGTTAAGAGAATTTAAAGAAAATATTTATATAGATATGCATGTATGTATGTATATGTAGAGAGTTAAGTAGTAGAAATGGAATATAGCTGAAAATGTATAAACTAAAACTTACCGGTAGCGCATTCAGACGTCTCATAGGACATGGTTGATTGTACTTCGACTGCATTTTGCTCAGATCTGAAAGCGAAAGAGAGGGAGAGGGAGAGAGAGAATGTGTTTTCAAAATTAAATACAAAAATTATACAAAAAGTATATAAATAATATAAAATATAAAAGTTTTCATTAAAATTCAACATAAAATAAGTCATGGCATAAATGTTCAGAATTTGCGCCTAATTGTAGGCAACATTTTTTATCTAACTTTCTTTTTTTTGGTATAAAAGTATTGAAAAACAATAATACTGTAAGTTATGTACATAAATATGCAGTCATGCGCCAAAATGTATGCAACGTTTTAGTCTCTCTCACTGAAAAACAGAAAACGTTACCTACATTTAGGGTTATTTTTGAAATTCTTTTACTAAAAACGCTAGAAGTACCACCGCATGAAATGCAATTTGCATATAAATTTTGTCAATGAATTCATTTCAAATATTATTTAAATAATTTTTCTTCATTAAGCTACTAAAGCATTCATCCCTCTCTACTTATATCAAATACAGAAAATAAAAACTTGCTGTCACTCACCTTAATATCACATCGGTTATAACTTGTTTCTCATTATCCGTATATTCTGATCTTCGCCGACCGATCTTCTTCTCAATATCAGCCTCAATAAATTGTCCTAATGGCCGTACGGGGAATTCATTCGCTTTCGCCGGCGGCGCTACATCCAATTTTAAATCTTTCAATTTCTTCATCATACGTTCGAGTGCCTCAATTACGTAATCATCGTTGTAACCGAAATTTTTATGCAATTTCACTTGTAAATATTCAATAATTGAGTCCATATCGTTGAGACGCAACAATTCATGTTTGTGCAAATAGAGTATGGTGACGGCCATGGCGGTGACGACACGATCACCTTCCAATAGGTAAATGTCCCAAACGCGTAAAGCTAAACTATAGGGTATCTACAGAAATGGAGAGGTGAAGAGAGAGGTACGGATAAATATGAAAATTGTTGTTGCATATGTATATGTATGTAAAAAAAAAAACAATTTAATATTTTATGCTTTATAGGCAGTAAAGCGCCGTATAAAGTGATGAAAAAGAAAGAGAAGCCGTTTATGGTGACAGTGAACCAAAAATGGTGGAAGGCAAATTTATTTTGGACGTTAAGCTTATTAATAGTTATGATGTAATATTATACTCGTATTTAATGTCTGATTTTGGCTTATCAAAATATAATAAAATGAATGACACAATAAAAGAAAAAATAAAAAAAATTTATACATTAAAAAAATATAAACTAAAATAATTTAACTTAACTGATACAAGCCAAAATAAAATAAAAAAAATTTCAACAAAAAAAGTTAATTTAAACAAAAACGGCTAAAAAAAATAAATTTAAAATATTTAACTTTATATAACAACTAAAAAAAATAATAAAATAAATAAAAATAAAAAGGATAAGATAAAGTTAACTTAAATGAAAATAAAAAATTGAATAAAGTGAATTTAAAAAAAAAAATAAATAATAGGAAACAAAATAACATTAAATTTAATTAAACAAAAAAAACAACAATGACAAAAAAATTTAATTACANTAAGTTAAAATAAATAAGATTAAATAAATTAAAATAAAATACAGGAATATTAAACAATAAAATAATAAAAAAAAATTTAAATAACATAAAATGAAATAAAGCAAAATAAAATAGATAACAATTCCAAAAAAAAAATTAAAAGATTTGAAACGAAAAAAAATTAAAACATCAAATTAAACACAAGAACAAAAAAACATTAATTAAAAAAAGTCAATTAAATGAAAATCAAATTAAAAATGCTGAGCTAAATAAATTAAATAAAAATACAAAACCAATAAAATTAATTAAAAAATTAAAATAAAATAAGAGGAAATAATAAATGATGTGAAATAAAATAAAGTAAAGAAAATTTAAAGAAAAGAAAATAAAATCTTGAAATAGTTTAAAATAATTGAAAAAGATAAATTAAAATTAAATTAATTAAATTTGCTAATTAAATTAAATAAAAATTCAGTAAAACACAATAAAATCGGTTGAAATCAAAAAACCGAAAATGTAATATTTACATATACGGGGTTAGCCATTTTGTGGTTTCGAAAATAAACGTAATCATTTACATTGCATTTCAAAGATGTTTTATGGTGAAATTGCTTTGTTTTATAATAAACTTTACGCCTTGACATTATTTGTATTTGAAAGACAATTTGCCTCGTGAATTTTCGTAAACTTCAATCCGTCTGAGGTTATTTTCGACGATTTCTTGGCACATTTTGGGCGGTGTCTCAGACACAACTTGACAAATGTTGGTTTTCCTAAGCTCAATAGTTAAAATTTTATTCGCATAAACACGGTTTTTCGCGTAGCTTCAGAGTGACTTTCTCGCCGTTGTCGTTTTCAAAAAAGTGAGGTTCACTCACACCACCGGACGAAAGAGCGCAACGGGCAGTAAGTTGTTTTCTTTTTGCTGTAATTGTCGCTCTTTAATTATCTGAGCCTATTTACGAATCCTCCCGAGTGTGAAATTTGCCCCATTTACTATTTGTTGTTCAAACAACCAATCGCCGTATTTTCGGCGTTGTGAATGGTCAGTCAGCCTCAATTTTTTCATAAATATCTGACCTTTAACTAAATCAAAACATGTTTAGTTTGACAGATGTTAAAATACAGCTCCGTACTTTTGAAACCACAAAATGGATAACCCTATATGTATTAACGATAGAATAAAATTCGTACAAAAAAGCGTTAAAATGGCATAAAGCACAAAAATAAAAAATAAAAAATAAAAAAAATAAAAACGAGAAAAAGCCAATGACCAGCGATATGAAGCGATAGGCAATGCCAAGACTAATTGGAGTAGTTTTTCGGTTTGTTTTCTTTAGACAGTAAAAAAAATGTAAAATGTTATAAAACACAAAAAAAGAGCTTATAATAGCAATAAAATACAATGAAATGGCAAAAAAGGTAGTTCTATAATATAATATATATAAAGTGATTTTTAGTAACAAGAACAAAAATGCAGAAGAAAAAGATGTGATTCTAAAATCGAAAAAAAAAAAAATCAAATGTAAATACAACAACAATAACTAGTGTAAGTACATAAACAGATTATAAATTTAATTATCACAAAAAAAAAAAATCAATCCTCTCATAATACACACCCGCTCCACAAAGATCACGAAAAACCACTTAATCGAATAAAGAATGGCATCCACATTGTGTTTCATAAAATGTTGATGCAACTTCCGCATCATCTTCGACATAATTCGATCATGATGTTCAAGGAAGCGTGTCAATTTCGGGAAGCCCTCTATAAATAAGCCATGCATAGCATATTTACGATCGATAATCAATTGATTTAACGCCCAAAATGCCTCCTCCTCCTGCATGAAGAGCAACAGTACACCGGCAAGGCATGCCATACCCTGACAATAACCCAATTCCGGATTATATATACTATAAGCATTGAGTACATTGAATAGGGAGCACTGTTTAACGCTATACCGTTGACGGTAGGCGACATTATCACGAAATTGTCGATTTACATCCGAATCGATTTGACGCACCTCGGTGGAGTATTTACGCGCCAATGCCAACATAGACGCATACTTATCACGATTGGCCACAATCAATTCATCAACATTCAGTAATTTCTTCCACGCTGGCCAACGCATACGATCCGGTATACCTTTAAAGACACGTCTGCGTACTTTCTCATTATTGGGATTCCAATTGGCTAACATTTTCATCCATTTCTTGTCGCGCTCCAATTCGATTTTCGTACGTTGTAGTTCCTGTGAGTCGCGGGTATCAGGTAGGCGGGAATCGTGCATGAAGCCATATCTGTGCGGATAAAGGAGAAGAGGAAGAAAAGAAAAATAACAAAACATATAGAATTTACTGCAGTACAATGTGTGAGAAAATTATTTATTTATATATTCTACATATATATATATACATATATACCTATGTATGTACATATATATAATACTAAGTGCATTGCTTTATTATTTGAAAACTTGTAATTGTAGCAAAGTAACAGGTATTTATGCGAACACTTACATTTATATATATATATATATTAGCATGTAAATATATACACATGTATATACTTGTATGTTTGTAAGCATATTTCCATGTTTATATTTCAAGGGTTCATTGTAATACACTGTGTGGTATGTGGCACCACGGAAGCGGCAAAGCAAGTTCGCCATGGGAAGCGTATAAAGCGCACAGCGCACGACAGAGCGAAACACGCGTTTTGCATTAATTTCCAAGAGACAAGAAAAATAAAATTTGTTAAAATAAAATTATAAAAAAAACTGGCAGAATTAACCGCGTTTTCATATTTTTACTATGGGCAAGCTTTTTTTTTTTTTTTTTTTTTTTAGTTTCAGAACACTTTTTATTACACTACATACACACATAAATTACGAAACGGTTTTTATTAACGGTTTGCGAAGTAGAAGAGGACTTTAATTCTTTTACCAGCTGACACATAATTGCCTCAAGTGGCTCTTGAAGCGGCGTAAGTATGACGAAAACAGAGAGAGAGAGAGAGAGAGAGAGAGAGAGGGAAGGAAGTGCAGACACTCATGCGAAGTATTGGCAAATTGCCCGGAAATGTTTTGCGGTGGCCAAGATAAACTAATTGGCACAATAATAGAAAACCATGCCTACCTAACCTCAAATTAAACAAGCTGTGTGAGGCTTTTTTTTGACACCAAAGGAAGGAAAAGGAGCGAAAAGAGAACAAAATCAGTTCTTTACTGGAAAAAATTATATAATTCGATATACATATGTACAAAAGTATGTATATGTGAAAGATTTTACTCCAAAGCGGGCATACAAGGAGGTGCTTAGTGTCGTGCGGGGACTCATTGAGTTGAGTTAATGCGGTTGCGCTTAGACCAATAGGCTCATTGTCTAACCGCAGTGAAGTTCCTATCTTTACCTTCCCAAATGTTCGAACCATTTTCTCTGCCTTATAAAAGCAACAAGAAGTGTTTTCCGGGGAACTTACGTCGCGCGGACGTCAAAGCTGTTCAATAGATTCTACCACTTTCTTTGCACCTACAGAGTGCTAGCCCGCTTTTTCCTCCGCGAAGCTCGTTTAAACCGTGACCAATTATGAGGATGACAACTGTTCTTATGCTAATGGAGAACCGATCTAAAAGTATAAGATGTTTTTTAATTTTTTCGTGTCCAATTTTTGTTATAGCTTTGCATTTTAGGTCCAGAGTAAGGCAGTTGAGGGGAGTTAGCAGTGTTTTTGAAGGAGTCAATGTCAGGACTTCTCCTACGAGGATAGCTGCCGACTACTGAACTCTCTTTAGGTTGTTCGTTTAAGTAACTTTTTCGAGTGCCGGCCGCCGTACGGTGAAATCGTAAAATAGCATTGACCTTACTATCGCTGTATAAATATGTTTTGTAAGTGTAAAGTGCAGTCATAGGCTTCATCGACCATTCTGTCGTGCTCCGGCTTCTCTTCCCGAGTTTTTGTTTTTGTTTTTGTTGTTGTTGCAACTGGCAAAAATATTCCCCAAAAGTATTTTTTTTTACAGTGACAGTCCTTGGCCGGATAAAAATCCGAGTCGTTCCGGTATACGACTGCCGCTGGAACTTTTGGATTTTAGTCTCCTCTTACAACAAGCATGCCTTACCGCGGGTAAATTCTTGTACACCTAACCCGCAGGTAGGATTTCCCCAAGATATTTGACTTCGTTAGAGAGGGTGTTTAAGAAAAGGCACTTTGCATGTACCTTCCCGGGAACTTACTGCATACAAAACATACCATAGAAATCAAATCTGGATAGGTAGGAGTTGAATCTGCTATGGTAACTTTTTAATTGTACAAGTATTTCCCGAATCTCAAAAAGCAACTCGTGCTCTTCGTTTGCTAAGGATGGTGGTTGAATTCCGGTATCGTTCTAGGTGGTATGGTTTCAAATGGATTCTGCTAAGGTGATCCCCGACCATCCAACCGGTGCTGTTGTCTTGCGACTTTAGTTGTTGTTGTTGTTGTAACCGCAAAAATATTCCCCAAAGTACTTTTTAAAGGAAGGTTGCGGGAGTGACAGTTTTTGGCCGTATAAAAATCCGGGTCGTTCCGGTGTAAAGACCCGACTAACGTGGGAACTATTGAATTTTAGTCGCCTCTTACTACAGGCATGCCCTACTAAGGTTAAATTCTTGAGTCCCTAACCCGCGACTTTAGTATTTCTTCGTGGCTCTGTACTTTGGTCATAATGGCAGTCGGATACATAGTAAAGGGCTGTCGAATGTGACTACCTGTAACTTTGGGTTGTCAAAAGCCCTTGGGGGTTTGCCGAGGTTTTAATGCAAATGCAGAGAAGTGGTTAGTGTCGAGCGCGGTCTGATTACATACGAGACCTACATACGTTGGGTATGTCAGCGTCGAGTTGGACAGTTATTAGACGATGGCTCAACGTAAGGTTGCACCAGGAGCCTAGGTATTATTTACACTTGACCCCGCTAAAAATGGTTACCCAGTCACTGACTTGGGGTTCTCTACAGTAGCTCTGTCGTAGATTGTCACTCCTTGATGCTAGATCCGGCACTTTGGCTCCGAAATTAGTGTGAATGGAGGAGGAATAAAATTCTCAAGTAGTATCTATGCGGTCGACGAGACGTAACGGTTGAAATCGGCACATTTCAGAAGATCTAAGAGGGCTACACGTTTGATATCTTGAGCCCGTGCTGAGCGCTCATGAAATCAACTACTTTCTCAATCTTCCCACGTAATCCGTAGGCAGTGGCAGAGAGCCCTATTCGACCGGGATGTCTGTTCTTGGTTAACCATAATGAGGACATGTAACGCGCCGTGTGAGATGGCCCTAAGATATCTATAATTATTATTATTATTATTATTATTATTATTATTATTATTATTATTATTATTATTATTATTATTATTATTATTATTATTATTATTATTATTGTTGTTGTAACCGCAAAAATATTCCCAAAAGTTTTTTTTTTTTTTTTGGAATGTTGCGGGAGTGACAATCCTTGGCCGGATAAAAATCCGGGTCGTTCAGGTGTAAAGACCCGACTGTCGTGGGAACTATTGATTACCGCGGATGAAATCTATAATTATTGCATGGAGTCGAAGGCGGATATGGGTTAGGTTCATCGCCAGTTGTGATAAGAGCAATTCGGAGCAAACCCATTGATGCAAATATTCACCAATACTAAATATATATTTAAACATAAATGTGGTTAAGTCACCGTAAAAGTGACAGGACGTGCACGGGTAAAATTCACTAAAACCGGTTCTTGTGAGTGTCTTTCTTATCAATAAGCTCTGTGCTTCCTTCACTGATGTACTTGCCTTCTTAGCAAAACTTGGCCTATATATTGAGCGGAGCAAGGAAATATTTGTGGATCCTTATTAGTTTCGATTGTAATTGAATGTGTGTATTTCCATACGACTAAGCATTTGCTTGCTTGCTTTCTTCTGTTTTTCTATTTTCTTTCTAACATATTTACATACTTAGCAATTGAAGAATGTGCCGTGTTGAGTGAAAGAATTTATTTTGATTTATGTATTAATGCATTTTTAATTACACTCACGTGTATGTCACCTGCCTCCAAAGCGAACACACCACCCACACACACACACACATCCATACACTGCATTGTAAATATGTTGATACTTTGCTGGGGAAATTTTATTTATTCTTTGTGCAATGAAGGTCGAGTGTGCTGACTTTTCACCGACTTACAATGAATGAGTAAAAAGGTCATATCTAAGTATAAACATACATACATACATGGTACATATATATGAATATATTTTGTATTATTTGTATTGTATATTTATTACATTCACAACGCTTATCATGCATATATATACATACATACATATGTATGTATGCATGTATGCAAGGAAAAAAAAGCTAAAAATCCTGGGAAAAAATGTACCAAAAATGGTAATGTGTGTATTTTTAAAAGCACCCAACATGAATCATGCCCATAATTTGCTGCGTGAGATCAGGCAAATGTACATACATATGTACATATATGCAGTATATTCACTTCATTTTAGAACATATATATGTATATATACATTGTTTGCAATTTCTAGTGATTTACTAAATAAGAAGTTTTTTGCGAATTTATGTGCATACATACATACATATGTAAATACGAGTGTATGCTTACAACAGTTGAGGCAAATATTTTTCAACAACTTTGAATTTGCACACCATAAAATTTGTATATAAAATTACACACACAAAATCAAATGAAAAATATATTATACTTTATTTTGCTTTCATTTAATTGAATTCAACACTTATGGATATTTTTAGAATTGCTTACTTTTAGTGATTTTCAAGTGTATTGCAAGTATTGCAAGTGAAGAAAATATCACTTTACAGTAAAATTGCTGAAAGTGTGAACAAAATGTGAAGATAAAGCGTTTTAAAAATAAATATTTTCTTTTAATAGCAAAAATGCGATGTTTTCTACATAGACTTTAGGCCAGTTAGCCATGTAATACAGTACTTTATACTATAAAATAAACTTACAACATTCTAAACGCATGACTAGCATTTATGAATAACATCGTTTCTTGTATTATTACTCATTACATAGTAGTAATATGCAAAAATTCACGCTTCCTTGGTTCAAACTCGAGGAATATGACCGCCAACACAAAGCCGTAGGCCAAGTGATGAAGGCCATGGCATTGTTAGTTCTTTTATTTTAATATTGGGCAGGAAACTACTTTAGACATGCACTTAAATATGCATCTTAAATTATTGGAAAATAACAGCTGCTGTAAATGCACTTACACCAGCACATTTATTTAGATTTCCAGGCATATGTTTAATGTATGTATGTATAACTGCACAAGAAATTTAAGTACCACTTAAGCACCTTAATACTTTTCCTATATATACATTTACATATATGTATGTACATAGCCGACCTAAAGCAGACAATGAATAGCACGATAATTCAAATGTCGTGACCCTTTTGAACTCACATTATAAGCATCATACATACACGTGCATAATAAATTGATTATTAATTGTTTTATTCTCCACTTTTTGCTTTGTACTCACTTGTCCGTAATGTGATATAGCTCAAATGTGGGATTCTCCCAAGGGTCCACCACATTCTTTGGATCTAAACCCAATGAATAACGATTGAAAATCGCTTCACGTTCATCGGCGGCACGTTGTAGCAACGCTTCCTGATCATCTAGTGCTGTTATAGTTTTGCTACTAATATTATTGGTCATCAGTGGCGCATTTGTTGCATCTCCTCCTGCTGTTGTTTTTGAAACAGTTGTTGCTGCTGCTGTTGTTGTATTGTTACTGCTACTGGTCGTTGTTATGTGGGTAGTTGTTGTGTGATTTGTAGCGGCAGCAATTGTTGTGGAGGCGGGCAGCGAATTACTTATATTATTCGCATTGCTGTTACTCGTGTTTATGACAATGCTGTTGGTATTGGTGCTGTTGTTATGATTGAGACTACTAGTCGTATTACTATTACTGGTAATGATAGTGACGCTATTGATGTGTCCAGTTGAATTCATGATTGCTTTTGTTTTTTATTTTTTTTATTTATATATTTTTTTCAGTTTGCTGTATTCTGCTTTGGGAAGAAGCGGTTGTGCGGTCGCTTAGCGATAGCCGGTGGCACTGAACTCTGAAGGCTGCTACTTGCAAGCTGTATTGTATATGTTGGAATGGTTGATTGTGGGGGTAGGGTGTAGCGCAAATGTGTAACAAAACTTGTTCTACAAATTTTTTTATGTTAAAACTAACATGTCTCTATTTTTGTAAGCAAACTTCGTTATTTACAAATGGATATTTGTATGGAATATTTGCATTTATCTGGAGTTTCTACCAAAAAAATTATGTGTATTCTTTGCACTTTTATAGAAGTTTGCCATTTATTTTACTAATAGTCCAACTTATTTTGGTTATGAAGTATTAGTTGTTGACAGCGCCAGTAATGTGATTCCCATAAATACGCCTGTGGAATTTATACATTTAATAAGCTTTTGTTGAGCAGCTTAACGCCCCCGCTTTGGCAAATGCTTTGTTGTATATATTCAGATCCAATTTCGTTTTGCGAAGATCCATTAATTTTACATAACTGAGTTGGGATTACACTGCTTTGAATGAGTAGATATTGTAAAGGACTTATTTTTTTTTTATATATTTTCTTATCGCACTTACTTCCTTTTAATTATGTTTTTTTATACGTACACAACACAAAAATCGCACTCAAAAACCACACACGCACGTATACTCTTCTGACCGTCATCAAAATTTCTCCCTTTTTGCTGAACAGCGTTTTCAAAGCATCACCTATTAGCTCAAATCTATTTTCACACTTTCATTTGCCTCGCTCACATCTTTACAACACTTTCATAGATATTCTCATATATTTTGCACATTTTACAATAGTTATTTCTGAATATTTACACACAATTTTCAATAAATTCATAAATTTTTATACTTTCCCCTGTGCAAGAAAATTGTAAAAACCACTCGAAATAGGGAGAATGCGAATGACAGCACTGACAGTTAAACTACGAATGACAGTAGAAATATCAAAAGACGGCGCGAAAGAAGGTAAATGGAAAAGAGAGTGAACAGTGTAACCACTTTATTAAATAAAGGGATGAGTTTTGGTAATAAGTTTTTAATCAATTATGAACAAGATTTTAGCGAAAACCAAATTAAGTTTTGTGCTATAAATAAATACGCCATATATTTTGAAAAATTCGAATATATAATAGTTAGAGATTTAGTTCGTTTTTTTTACGTTTTTATGAGTTTTTTAATCAAAATTATTTTTACCTTTCCGGCAACATTTAATTTTACGTTTAATAGGACTTTGGCAATCATAAACTAATCAGCCGGCTTTAAATTTATTTGACATAAAGCACAAAATAAACAAATCAGGATGAAGTAAAAGTTTAAATATTTTAATATTATTTATCATTATAAATACATAATTTTTACAGATTAAGTGTTGACGGCCTACTGGTTTACTTTCCATACGAATACATCTACCCGGAGCAGTATGCGTACATGCTAGAATTAAAACGCACATTAGATGCAAAGGGACACTGCCTGCTAGAGATGCCTTCGGGTACCGGCAAAACTGCCACACTACTTTCCTTAATTGTTGCATACATGATCGAACATCCGGATGTATTACGCAAATTAATTTACTGTTCACGTACAGTGCCGGAGATTGAAAAGGTTATTGCAGAATTACAAAATCTCATATCCTATTACGAAAAGAATGCGCCTGAGCCACCCCAATTGTTGGGATTAGTGCTTAGTTCACGTAAAAATATGTGCGTACATCCAGAAGTGAGTAGAGAGCGTGAGGGTAAGGCAGTGGATGGTAAATGTTATGGCCTAACAGCAAGTTATGTGCGTACACATCATGAGGTAGATCCTGAAAATACGCCAATATGTGAGTGTGTATTAAAATTGTGGCAAGCATGCACTAGTAATTAATGATAATAATTATTTCAAATAATTTTTTTTTATTTACAGGTCAATATTATGAAGGTTTCGCTGCAGAAGGCAAAGAATCATTAATGCCACATGGTGTCTATAGCATTGATGATCTCAAAGAATATGGACGTGAACGCAATTGGTGTCCATATTTTTTGGCACGTTTTGCTATCTCACATGCACAAATTGTCGTATACAGTTATCATTATTTATTGGATCCGAAAATCGCGGAGGTCGTCTCCAAGGAAATGAACAAACAATGTTGTGTCGTCTTCGATGAGGCTCACAACATCGATAATGTGTGCATAGATTCGATGAGCGTTAAAATTAATCGGCGTATAGTGGAACGTAGCACAAATGCGTTGAATAATTTACAGAAAATAGTGCAAGAGTAAATTATATAATATATTTTTATACATAAATTATAAATTTTATGTTCAAATTAATATTTTTTCTCTAGCATACGAGATGAAGATGCCAATCGTCTAAATGAAGAGTACCAACGTATGGTACAAGGCTTAAAGGATGCACAGGTGCAACGCGAGACCGACATGGTAATGGCTAATCCTGTATTACCCGCGGATGTGTTAAAAGGTTTTGATTAATTATAAAATATTTTCATTTTAGTCAATATATTTTCGTCTTAATTTGCAGAGGTAGTGCCTGGTAACATACGTAATGCAGATCATTTCCTCAGTTTCCTACGTCGCTTTGTTGAGTATATAAAGACACGTTTACGTGTACATCACGTTGTGCAAGAATCGCCCGCTGGTTTCCTCAAAGATGTAGCATCGAAAATCTGCATTGAACGTAAACCCTTGCGATTTTGTGCTGAACGTTTAGCGAGCTTGTTGAGAACGTTGGAGATTACGGATATGACAGAGTATGGCGCGCTAACATTGGTAACTGGCAATCATTACAAAAAATTCAATATTTTGCATTGAAAGTTTTCTCTCTGTATATAGATTACACATTTTGCTACCTTAGTATCAACCTACACGAAGGGTTTCACAATCATTGTCGAACCTTTTGACGATAAAACACCCACGGTCATAAATCCTATACTACACTTTAGTTGTTTAGACTCTTCTATAGCAATGGCGCCAGTGTTTACGCGCTTTCAAACAGTTGTCATAACATCGGGTACACTTTCGCCTATGGATATGTATCCGAAAATACTGGATTTTGATCCAGTCATAATGAGTTCCTTTACAATGACGCTGGCACGTCCTTGCTTGCTGCCAATGGTATGCACTTTTCTGCTATTTTAAAATTTCAAATAGTAAACATAATGATTTCATGCAGATCGTATCAAAAGGCAACGATCAAGTGGCTATTTCTTCGAAATTTGAAACACGCGAAGATACAGCTGTGATACGTAATTACGGACAGCTACTTGTGGAGACGGCAAAGACGGTGCCCGATGGCATAGTGTGCTTTTTCACATCCTACTTGTATCTAGAGTCTGTTGTTGCTTCCTGGTATGATCAGGGCATTGTGGATACTTTGTTGCGTTACAAACTGTTGTTTATCGAAACACAAGATAATGCGGAGACCAGCTATGCGCTAATGAATTATGTCAAGGTAATTATGAAATGAACCGAAAAAAAAATATTTAAATAAAATTTCTCCTCAATTATTAGGCTTGTGATTGTGGACGTGGCGCTGTTCTATTAGCCGTTGCGCGTGGTAAAGTCTCTGAGGGTGTAGATTTCGATCATCATTATGGACGCGCTGTACTTATGTTCGGCATACCCTATGTGTACACCCAATCACGCATACTCAAAGCACGTTTAGATTATCTACGCGATCAATTTCAAATACGCGAAAATGATTTTCTTACCTTCGATGCCATGCGTCATGCGGCGCAATGTGTGGGACGTGCACTGCGTGGTAAAACCGATTATGGCATAATGATATTCGCAGATAAACGTTTCTCACGTCAAGATAAACGTAGTCGTTTGCCTAAATGGATACAGGAACATTTAGTTGATAGTTTTTGTAATTTGAGCACAGAAGAGGCAATGCAACTGGCACGTCGCTGGTTGCGGCGAATGGCACAACCGTTCACGCGTGAAGATCAACTCGGTATATCATTGTTGACATTGGAGCAATTGGAGAACTCGGAGAAGGAGAAATTGGAGCGGCAAGCGCAAGGTAAAGAGGGTGTAGGCGGCGAGGTGATGGAGCTGTAAATTGCTGTAAGCAAGAAAATGCATTGAATGAAATATAAAATATAGAGATAAAACTTTTCTAAATGTAATTGTGTTTGTTGTTTTATATGCATTTATGCAATATGTATGTTTAAATCAGATTTATACTTTTTGACTTATTGACATGCGCCATACACAGACAGTATACAAGGTGTGAAAATGTGAATGAAAAATCAACACAACACGCACACATTTAATTTTGAAAAATATTTAAATGAAGAAAATTATACCGTGCACCTACCGCGAGACGTATTTCAAATTAACATCATAATCTGGAACAGCTTGACTGTATTGCATTTGCTAACCGTCTTCCGGTTAGCGTCCGCGCACAGCTGGTTGTTTATATTTAGGGCTTGTTTGCTTTCATTTGTTTATTTGTAATTGCTTATACTTTATATTCTTTTTTGCACGGAGTTTTTTTTATATTTATTGTAGCTTGACTGTATTTATTTCTTTATTCTTTTTGCACTTAATCACCGGCGCGCAAACGGCGGCAAGTAAAGCGCAAGCAAAAAGTGTTAATGACATTGACCGTTTTTTTATGCGAGATTCCGATACCTTTACCTTTCCTTCCGCTCAATTTTTTACGAACAATTAAATATTATTATTATTTTTTTTTTTGTTTTCTCGCTACAGAATATTTAAGCATTGACTTAGGTTTAATATTAAATATGAGTTTTTTGTTTGTTTTTTGTTTTTTTGCTCTGTTATACCTTTCTAATTTATTTGCATTTTGGTTATATGTAAATATTTTGAATATTCATGAAAAAAATTGGTTTCACACATGGACACATACATATATTAAAAAAATAGTACCAAAAATTATACTAACTTTTCCAATTAAAATAAAAAAAAATAGTCGTTAGAACTCATTTTTGCATCATATTAGATATTTTTTTCTTGCAAAATGTGCTAATTAACAACAATTTTTATTATAATCATCACGTAATTTGAGTTAATTATTGTGGTTATTATCGGCGAGGTTGTTTGGCCACTTTTAAGTTACTTGGGGTTTCCGTGATTCATTGATTTGAGTCAGAAAGTAAGTACATGTATACAAATGTGTGTATGTATATATGTATGTATTTTTTATTGAGACCTTTTAAACTGAAGTGTGATTTTTCTTTGCATTCCTTTGGGTAATTTCCATTTACTCTGAGTTTTTTTCTCCATTGCTTTAGATAATAATTAATTCTTTGAAATAGAGTATGTAATGAGCTGTGTAAAACATGTAAAAACTTTAATTTTAGTTCAAATACGTGAGAAAAAAAATGTAATCTTCCCATCGTACGAAAGATTCAAAGTTTATATAAATCAATCAATTTTATTTATAGTTACGTTGATTTTTCTAAGTAAAGCAATATCTCTATAGCACAACTAAAATACACACATACATACATACACAACTGGTATTTAGGTATTAGGCTAAGTAGAAAGTATATTTTCTCTCAACTGCGGTGTGACAATCCTCATCGTACCAGATAAGCGTCTATCTACAGTCCGCATCAAAGTAAACTTCTTCTACATGCCACTTATTTGCGTCCAAAGATGCCTCTTATGAATGCCTGAAATGCGTCTAGAGTTGTACTCCTGCTCTCTGAGAGAATTCATCAACAACTTGGTATAATTTAATTCTCTATATTCTTTTTTCAGTTTTGTTTTTATTTTCGTTTTATTTTATAACTTTCATTTACTTTTATTTTGTTCTATGATTTTTTTTCATATGTTATATTTTTTTAAATTTAATTAATTTTATTATCTTCAATTTTTAAATTTACATTTTTTATTTTTATTAAAAAAAATGTTTTTAATTTTTATTAATATTTAATTTTTTGTTTCAATTATTTAGTTTAGTTTAATCAAAATTTATTTTTTTTTTCAATTTTTGTGTCTATTTTTAGACTTTTTATTTTATTTTAAATAATGTTAATTTTTTTATTAATTTTTTTCATTAATTAATTAAATTTAATTTTTTGCTTAAATTATTTAGTTTAATTTAAATAAACATTTTTCTGTTTTTGTTTTATATTTTAAATCAACTTTAATAATTTTAATTATTTGTGTTTTTTTTAAACTCAATTAAAGCTTTTTACTGTATTTATTTTTTATTTGTTTTTTACATATTTTATTTGTAATGTAAATTAATATTTTTTTTTAATTCATTTAATTTTTTTTTATATTAATTTATATTTTTTATTTTAATATGGGTTTTTTATTCTTTTTTCGTCCATTTAATTTTGTTTAATTTTTCGTTTCAAATATTTAAAATAACTTCATTTAAATTAATTTTTTTCTATTTTATTTCATTTGGATTTATTTTATTTTTAATAAAACTTTATTATTTTTGATTATTTGTGTTTTTTAGCTCAATTAAAGTTTCTCAATATATTTATGTTTTGTTTCTTGTTTACGTATTTGATTTTAATTAATGTAAATTATTTTTTTTTAAATTAATTTATTTCATTTTATTATTTATGGATACAGTTTATTTTTATTTTATATTTTAATTTAATTTCAATTTATTTTTCTGTATATTTTATTGCATTTTGAGTAACTTTATTTAATTTGTTTATTTAGCTTTATTTGATTTTATTTATTTTGTTAAATTTTTGTATTTAATTTTTTTATAATTCAATTTATTATATCTGATCTCTTTCTTATATTGCAAAATTCTATTTTATTTGACTTAGTTGTAATTTATTTAGTATGATTTCTTATGAATATGTCATTGTTATTTTAATTTTTTTTCTCTTCATTTCATTTTATTTTGCCTTAATTTTATTTCTAATTTTATTTATTAAAATTCAACTATTTAATTTTATTTTATTTCAATTTAAATTTAAGTTGTTTTATTTATTTTTCTTTCCTTATTTTACTTTATTTATTTATTTAATATTTTTTATTTAAATAAACTAAATTTTTTCTAAACTTTTTAATTATTAATTAGTTTTCACTATAATTAATGTTTCAATTTTAATTCATTTTATTATTTATATTTTATTATATCTTGTTATCTTTTAAGACCTTTTTATTATATTATTTTGGTTAATTAAATTAAATTTAACTTAGCTTTAATTAATTTAACTTTATATTTACAACTTATTATTTCTAAATTCATCAGCCTTATTATGTTTTCTTTTATTGAAATTTAATGTATTTTATTTTAAATTATAAATTTTTGCTATTATTTAAATTTAATTTTTAATTCATTTTTTTTGACTTTGTTATTCCACTTTATTTTATTTTAATTAATTTTATTTCTAAGTTTAATTAATTTTTTTAACTGTTCTTATTCAGATTTCTCTTAATTTACTTCATCTTATATTTTTAATTTATTTTATTTTATCACCTTCATTTTGTTTTATTTTACTTTAATTTAATTTATTCTACTCTAATTAGTTTAATTTTAATTTTAGTTTATGTTATTGTATTTTATCTTATTTAATTTAATTTTATTTTGGTTAATTTTATTTCTATGTTTAATTAATTTTTTTAACTGTTTTTCTAAAGATTTCTTCTGATTTATTTCATTTATATAATTTATTTCGTTTTATATTATTGTATATTATTTTTGTTTAGTTTAATTACATTTTTTTTATTGTTTTCTCTTTAATTTATTTTATTTTAAATAATTAATTTACGTATGTCATCAGCTTCATTTTGTTTTTTTTTTTTTTAATTTTATTTACTTTATTTTATTTTATTAAATTGGATTAATTTTACTTAATTTAATGTATTTATTTGTTTTTGTTATTTTTCTTTACTAAATTAAATTTCTTTATTTATTTTTGTGTTTTCTTTTCTTATTTTATTTTTATTTTTTAATTTAACATCATTTTAATTATGCTCCACTATTGACAGCCGTGACGCATGAGTAACGTCAAATCCTTTCCATGGCATTTTTTGTTGCTTATACGCCACGGCTCATATAATAAAAGAGAATGTACATAAATAATATTTTTAACAGTTATGGTACATATGTATGCAAATGGGATAATTTTTGACCAAATGATTTACTCAGCAATATGCAAATATACACATGTATATATGTATGTATATGAGTTAAGTTAAAACTTCCTTCTGGAAGATATTCTTGTATCATTTTGTTGTTTTTTTATGGTTCAATTAAAAATGAAAAAAAAAATCAAACACAAGAAGTCCAGTCAAAAATCCAATATTAAACTGTAACTGTAACAGCAAGCATGACCAGAAGCAATGAAGTTAGCGTGAGTTGAGAGTGTAGCGCCGAGAGAGTCGTGAGTAAGTGATATAAGCCAACGGCAACAGCCAATGACGCTCAACGCTTGACGCTCTGTACATTCAATAGCAGGGAAGGGAGTAAAATGGCATAAGACTAAATTGAATTTGATAACGGAACTCACCCTCTTAGCGGATATAGAAATAAAGCACAGAAATCAAGGCGAATGAGTAAGTATTTGTATACAGTATACATACATATGTATATGTGTTTGTGCGTATGTATGAATATGTAACACAACAAAGCGGCTGTGTATTGGTCATTTTATTTACAGTGAGCAAGCAATTACAGAAAGAGTAGTTTATGTTACATTTTTTGTTTTTGCAAAAAAATAAAACAACAACAATATATTGAAAATATTAGAATGGTAATTGGAGAACTTCAAAGAGCCTCCAAAGTATCAATCTCAGTCTCACTCTTAAGTCACTTTGAGTGCAAACAATAAATATATTTCCTGCACATCGATATATGTACGTGTATGTGTGTGTGTGTATGTTTGTACAACAACAACATGAAATTCAGCAGTTAAAGCTAAAAAAGTAAAGAAAAGACAACAACAACAACGACAACGCAAAGAGTAATTGAAACCGATACTGACACTGAGCGGAAAATCAGAATTTGCCGAATTGGCAACGATTCAAATGCAGAGTAGACAGCTAAATAAAACAGCAGCATTAACGACAATAATAACAACAACAGCGGCAAATACGAACCCATACAAATATACTACACATATTTACCATAATATTTGCGCGGCCAGAGCAACAGTGTAGAAGGCAACAACAGCAACAATAATAATAACAACAACAACAACAGCTGCAAAAAGAAGCAAGAAAAAAAGAACTTTACGATTTTTCATAATAAAAAGGTTTCCACTAAATAACGAGCCGTTTAGTCGACTCTCGATGCTGAGGAAAGTGAAACGCGACACGCTAAACGCCAATTGACAAACAACGCTAAACATTAAGCGTCAAACACTACTTGTAAACGCGTCGTAACTAAAAGCAAACAAAAAAAAAGCAAAAATATTGTGTATCGAGTAGCGAGCGAAAAAAAAATATAAAAGAAATAATATAAATAAAAATTGAATAAAATTTAAAGTAAGAATTTTATTAAAAGGAAGATAGATAAATAAAATAATACCAAAAATTTGAAGGCAGTGTGTGCGCGTTTTCTTTTACTGTCCAACTGAACAATTACTAATACAAGAAACAAAAAAAAAAATAGCAAACAATTTTATTTTCAAAACACCAAAACAGTATTAAAAAAAAAAAACATAATTCTAATTCTCTGCCTTTCAAACTGCCGAAGTTCTTTAAAAGCAAAAAATAACAATAACCATTTCATAAGATAAATATAAATAAAACAAAAATAAATTAAAAATGAAGCAGTTAAGTGAAACAGTAGGCCAACCACAGCAAAATGGCATTGCCATCGCAACAAGTACACAGCAGCAACAGCAGCAGCCGCCGCCATTGGCATTACAGCGCCATTGTGCTGAGGATTTAGCAAGTAACGGCGAACAGAAACAGCAGCAAACGCCGCAGCAGCAGCAACAGCTGATGCAGTCGCCTACAAACAAAAGTGGCTTGCAATTGGCATTAACGGTAAATGGCAGTATCGGCAGCAGCAGCAGCAGCAGCAGCAACTTTTTGGCACAGAACGGCAAGAATGGCAGTGAAAACGGTAAGTGGATGTTTATATATATATAGTATATATAATACATAGGTACACACATAACTGCGTGTAAAATACATAAAAGTGTAGGTGAATTGCATGAGTTAGAAAAGAGTAGCATAAAGTGGCAATTTTTTCAAGTTTAAAGTGCAAGTTAGTTGAAAAGTCAGCGTAAATGGTTTGCTATTTATACAGCTGACTATCGTAGTCAATATGATTTATCCATTTTATTGTATATTTTTCGATTTTCTTGCATTTCATTTAAAAAATTGTTTTTTTTTCACAATTCTTTGCTAGAATACCCAATCAGATAATGTGGGAGGCTAACTGAACCATTTTATCAAGTGTCGCAAGTTTTGATTTATTTTGAGTAATAAAAAATAAATAACTGTCCATAACTTTTTCGGTTAGATTTTTTGTTTTATGTGTAATTATATATTATTTGAAATGCAACTAACTTCGTTGCATTTATATTTTATTTATATCATACAAATTTTTGTGCGATTAAAAAAAAAATAAACAGATTAACAGATCTTTTTGGCAAAAAAAAAAAAATCAGTAAACAACCTCAGTTCATATTAACCATTGACACTTTTCGAGTTTTCACCATTTTCAACCCTAGAAACCCAATATATTACAAATACATTTATCACAAAAGGGCACCAATTATAAAAACACAAAAAGATCACATTTAAAGTGTATTAGCTATTTTTGATAGCTGCACGGGCAACATAACCTTAAAGTAAAAACTAAATATAACACAAATTCATATTCATATTTCCTTTCACGGCTCATTGCATTTTATTTAATTTTGCGCGCTGTTGTTGTAACATCAGAATCGTTGCTTTTAGTGTTTGCTTGCATAAGTAAATACGAAATATACATATGTACATATTTAATTTCTCCACTTCTAGATTCAAATATTTTTCTACACTTCACAATTTGCTTAATTTTTAGTTTATAGTAACTGAAAGTGTCATAAATGTCATAAATCATAAACATTAATCGGAAATCGATAGCACTCTGATTGTTGACGCATTCACAGAAAAAGTCTTGAGTAGCGGACTAGTGCAGTAATTTGTCATTTCGCGATGATTGATGGACACAGGCGTATAATAAGAGAATTATACTGCTTATATAAATTAAAAACAATTTAAAATATTTCAAACTTCATAGGTTAGGTTAGGCTGAAGTGGCTATCGATCTACAAGCATCAATACACATAATTCAGTGTGAGCCTTTTGCGGTACCACTAGTGATTCCTTTATATATTTCAATTTATTAGATAATTTATCTTGATGTCTGCTCCTAGATATCGGAAACTAGCTTTGCCCAAGACGTGGTAGTCTCATAGGGACTATTGCTCCTCAGCTTCTGCACCATCTCCTGAAGGGGACTCCCAGCCCTCGCCACATGTCGTCCCATCAAAGCAGTGACCTTTTAAGACTTATTTCTCTCTCTTATTTTATATTATATTTCGCGTGGCCTTTTCTGCTCCCATTTCGGTAATTTTTTTTTTCGAAATTCTGCAAGTAGCAAGTATGTTATTCCATCTTAATTTGGTCTGGTCTTTGCTTGGGCGTGCCCAGCCTGGTAACTATTGCTGTCCTACAGTTTCCCCATTAGGCGTATCCATTGGACCCGCAACCCAAAAGAGATATAATATGTTGTGTTTAGCCATATACTGCGCGTATCGCTGAAAAACCATCACAATTTTTGAAATCATTGTAAACAAGCCAAGCGACTTAATCGGTGGCACACTATCGCAGAAAAGAAAGATATCCTTGCTGATGAGCTTCGTTTCAATGTAGTTTGCTGCCTGCTGCTGTAATAGCTGAAATTCTAGCCTGAAATATTGTACATTGCAATGATCGGGTAGGCTGGAAGAGGCACTTCCTCCAACTCTTCCATGAATCGAAGTTATTGCACAAAGTTAAAACACACAGGTCTCGTTTGTGGTGGTCTTGAGCGCACCACTTACTATAATCAAGCTGATTCTATTTAGAAGATTCAGTTTGTAAAAGGAATTTGTTTCAAGACTCTGACTAGTTGCATTACGTCTTCATGTTATGGCGAATCGTTGAACCACAACTCCGTCGTAGCATTTCCAATGAGCATATTTCAACTCCTTTCCTATTTTAGGTTAATCTTTTTTTGTATTAAATTGTAACAAATCATTTTTAATTTCACTTTTCAGTCGATATAATTCTCTTCCTTTTATTTTTTTCAACCAATTTGTAAATAAACTGTAACAGACGTCAAAAGTATACTATTGTGAACATCCGAAATGAGCAGAATTCACAATAATACAACTCAATTCGACGCAGTGGACATCAGTTTTTCGCCGTCCGAACCCCGTTTAAGTTAATCACATGAAAATTCGTTCTACAATAATTCCTACATAATCTCACAAAAAAGCAACAGATGTTGCTCAGTGATTATTCATTCATTTTTTTCGTCACTACCTCGTTGCTATGGTCCATATCACTTGTTTTGATTATTAAATTATTTCTGTCTTAAATGGACAATTCTTATCGCGTCGAATGAAAATAGTAAATAATGTTTTTTGTTTTTTGTTTTATTTTTTTTTTTGATTATGTAGTAGTGAATTTGAAGTAAAGAAATTAAGATGTGAAAATCTTTAGGATGACTTGACATTTTATAAAATGTGTCAATCGTTTTTGTTTTCTTTCCCGATTTCTTAAATAAAAAAATATAATTTTTATTGCATTTGATATTCTCATTCAAAATAACTAAGCGCTACTTTACTTACAATGTCTGCAAATCTATGTTGAATTTCCGTGGTTACTTTACACTGTACCATTCACAATAGTATCCCTTATCGACTTAACAACAGCGCGCCATTCCTTCCTTATTTTCGCTATTTGGTGCCGAGCTCTTATCAACCTGCAGCATAGTAGAGGTCATCTTCCTTCTCTGCTTCCACCTGCGGATACTGCATCGAAACCTTTCAAAGCTGACGTGATCTTATCCATTTGGATCATATGACCTAGCCATCGCAGCCGCTGTCTCTTGATTCGCTCAACTAAGTCAATATCAGCGTATATCTCGTTCCAGCGGTTGCAGTATTCGCCGTTGCCAACACTCAAAGATCCATATATCTTACGCAGAACCCTTCTCTCGAAAACTCCTGACGTCGACTCAGCAGAAGTTGTCTTTATCTATGCCTCCGAAACATATAGAAGGACGAGAATTATTAAAGAACTGGTAGATTTCGGGTTTTGTTCGGTTACTTTTCAATTGCCTACTCAGTCCAAAATCGCATAGGATAGAGTGTTACTGCTTTGAATTTCAAGACTGACATTGTTGTTGGTATTAATGCTGGTTCCAAGTCAGAAAGAAATTATCGAAGATTTTAAAGTTATAGTTGTCAATAGTGACGTCGGCGCCGAAAAGAGAATGCGATGTTTGTTTGATAACAAAACATATTTCGTCTTGTCCACGTTTACTACCAGACCCATACGCTTTCTTATCGAGTCAGTTAAAGTTAGAACTAATGGAAGATTGCGCCCTCTCTATTCAGTCTCTCAAGCAATAGATTAAAAACATCACACTCCTTGTCCGCCTGTCTGAAACGTCTTTTGGTAACGAAAGCTTTAGAGAGGTTCTTCCCTACCCTGACGAAGCTTTTGATATTGCGGACCGCTGCTTTTCTTCGCTGTCGATGACATCTTTAAAATCGACCTCTTTTCACGAGTATTTTTCAAGATTTTTGGCATGGTGAATATCTGGTTAGTGGTGGAATTATAAGGTCTAAAGGTTAGTAGTGCTGGTAAGGTCTAAAGCATATAAGATCCAAACAGCTTATTGACGTTGGTCTTTCACACAATACGCTCTTACCTTATATACGATATTTAGGAGGCTCGTTAATTGGCGCAGACTGTGGGATCCCTTTTTTTTTGTGGATTTGGTAGAACACCTTTAGGTTCCAATTGACAGACATATTTTCACCCGACCATAGTTTGTAAAAAAGCTGCTGCATACACAACTTGTCAGTACTTCCTTACTCAAAGGTTCTCTGTTTGAGCAGTGAAGCCAAGAATAAGATGCGATGATGGCTCATGAAGGTCCGTCGATATTTCAAGTTCTGGTTGTCGGCCTTAGTTGAACGCGAAGGCAAGTTGCCAAAAGCCTCGTCCCATACGAAAACCATAAACAATTATTAAAATAACATTTAACCGCAAACCACTAAACGGAAGAGCAGCTCGACTTACTATAAGCTCATATTCTTTATGAATTTGACATTGTATTGACGTCTGAAATCTGATATTTTCAAAGTGCATTTCCCAAAGCACTCAATGGAAGTTCCAACTAATGCTTTTACCTTAAAAATCTGTTACTTTTACATACGACTAAATATTATTTATGTTCAATGTCAATAGTGGAGCTGTCAAATTGAAGGTCACGTCACATACATACGTATAACTGTAACCCTGTATGGTGGTGTGCTAAAATTTGAAACCGTTATATAGAGGAAACTCTTGTTACTGTAGCGTAATTGTAGGGTTGCAATGTGGTTAATGCTTGCGCATATTTTGTCAACTTTTCCGCTACAATTGTGCTGCATTTCAATAGATTCACAATAGATGCGTACAAGCACTGCCATTTATGTACGTATATTTGTATGCAACGTATGCTCGTAAGAATGCGCACTTGGAAGTAAGTGGATTTATATGTTCAATGTCAATAGACATAAGTAAAACTATAAATTTCAAAGATTAAATTTCCAAACACAAAGGCTTTCGCACTAGTTCACAAAAATAAATTAATTAATGCAATAAAAAAAATGCCTGAAATCAATATCAATCTATGCACTTGCGGTTTATGTGCAATTTGTAGGCGCTTATTAATTTAGTTTTTAATCTTGCAGCATATTTGTAGTACAATGAATACTTTTCATTCGAATATTACATTAATATTGCGGTTCTTTATAGTTATTTTTAGTTCGATATTTCTAATGTCCATTGCATAGTAAAAATTCTTAACAAGTAATGTAATGCAATGCAGCTAACATTCCAGACCTGCATACATACATACATACATATTTATGAGTACGTACACATATTTGTCTATCTATTTGTGCATAGCAGCCCATGCAGCTATGTTACGCCGCCCCATAGAGGTGACCCTTTACCGCATTACCAGTTTTTTCAGGCGCGCATATATCTATATACATATGTACATGCATACGTGTACTTACAGCATATGATGAAATACCTTCAAAATTATAGCAATTTAAATCATAATAAAAATAATCTCAAATTACAGCCATTAAAATACCTATGACACGTGTATTTCCAATTTAAACTACGTTGTTGTTATTAGCTGCTGAGAATACAACAGCTTACACGATATTCATCTATAATTTCTTTATGTTCGATTTCTAATTTCAGAAGAAAATGTTGCAAAAAATAATACAAGATTTTTCGTTTAGTTTTTACGCTTGATTACTCATTGTGAATGGTACGTGTTGGTAGAAGAAAACCACATACAATCTAAACATGTGTTTTTTTCTTTTTTTTTTTATTTGTTGAATTTTCATTTAAAATTTACGCGCAAGATGGCAAACATTTGAGAATGCGCTTAGTTTCGAAGATAAAAATTTAGTTAAAGATTTATGGTGGATTTTTGCATTGGCAACGACGTGTAGCGCAGATAGTGTAATAGATGCTGCTTTACGAGATATACAGCGACGTTGAATAGAGACAGCGTAAACGCTGATTAGATCATCTTGTTCGAATGAATGAAAACATTATAGTTGCAAGGATCAAATAGAGACTGACCTGGTTTCTCGTAGAGTTTCCAAATGCCAAATAGCGAAAAAAGAGAAACGATTGGCGCGCTATTGTTAATTCGGCTAAAAGCCTGTAAGCGGAGTTTACGTCAACTAAGGAGAAGAAGAATGCGTCCATAGTCAAAATTCAAAGGCAATTGGACCCAAAATTCAAAGGCAGTTGGATGTTTACATCTGTTCTTGCTTGCCGCTGGTAACGTCATTCATCTAAGAATTTCAGTATGGCTGTTTAGTATTGCTAGAATGGAAATTTTTGTATACTCTTCATGTACATGAAATGATACATTAACTTTGATCTAAAGTATGTTGTAAGTACCAGAAGGGCTAGAGTTAGACCCATCAAAATGTATACTAATATGTTTCGAATTACGAATTGGTTTGATTTAGCGATGCCCGTCTGTCTGTCTGTCCGCTTATATGTATCTATGTCAACTAGTCTTTCAGTTTTTGAGATATTTCAACTAGAATGGAACACTACAGCACATAAATATATGACAGATTTGTTCAGATTTGAGGTTATGGGTAATACTATGACTATAACATATAGCTCTGATACAACCGATATTTCATATATAAGGCTATGAGCGAAATTCCGCCAAAAAAGCAACTAAAAGTATGAAATTTGCTATTCTACATTCGTATCTACAAAGAAATATGTATGAATTATTATTGACATTCATCAAAATCGGAGGCATAA